CAGCCTTTACTCTTGGTAACAAGCAGATGCTTTGCTGAGACTGTTCACATACACCCCTTTGTGAAACAGAGCCCAGTAAATATTGTGCTTATATTTACTCTGTAAATATTTGTCTGTACCTCTTGTCTTCTACAGATGCACCTGAAGGAAAGAGTGTCAAATGAGGAATTTGAAAAGCATTAATAATTCCCTAGAGATTCAAATTTATAATCCACAACTTTGATAAAGAACCAGAAAACTCTACGAATAATACATTGCATTAAATCTTCTCCAGAAACACATTTTGTATAGTGTTCCCTTATTTCCCTGCCATTAGAAGGTCATGCTTCTTCATCTTAATAGCAGAGAATGCCATTGAGTTGCAGTGATCGGCTGAGGCATATTCTGTAGAACTCCACAATACATCTTTCTGATTTTTCTTAATTGTGAGAATCTGCCTTTTCCTAGATTCATAAGGCTGGGACACATAAAAGAGAGGGAATAGAAAAAGAAGAGTGGAGACCGGGCCTGGTGGTTCAGGCCTGCAATCCCAGCATTTTGGGAGGCCGAGGCAGGTGGATCACAAGTTCAGGAGTTCGAGACCAGCTTGGCCAATATGGTGAAACCCCATCTCTATTTAAAAAATATAAAAATTGGCCGGGCGCGGTGGCCCACGCCTGTAATCCCAGCACTTTGGGAGGCTGAGACGGGTGGATCAAGGTCAAGAGATTGAGACCATCCTGGTCAACATGGTGAAACCCCGTCTCTACTAAAAATACAAAAAATTAGCTGGGCATGGTGGCGCGTGCCTGTAATCCCAGCTGCTCGGGAGGCTGAGGCAGAATAGCTTGAACCTGGGGGGTGCAGGTTATAGTGAGCTGAGATCGCGCCACTGCACTCCAGCCTGCATGACAAGAGCAAGACTGTCTCAAAAAACAAAAAAAAGAAAAGAAAAGAAAAAGAAGAGTGGAGAGAGTCTGATGACTTCTTTTTTATATCAGATGCTCACTTTTTAATTTTTAAAATTGTGTTAAAATTTATGTAACATACAGCATACAATTCAGTGATTTAAGTATGTTCACAATGTTGTGCAACCATCCTCACCATCAATATCCACAACTTTTTCATCATTTCTTTTTTTCATTTTCTTTTCGTCATTTCAAACAGAAACACTGTACCCATTAAGCAATAACTTCCTACACCTCACGTCCCCACCAGCCCCTGGCGGCCTTTATTCTACTTTCTGCCTATGAATTTGCCTATTCATTCTATGTGTCTCATATAAATGAAATCACACAATGTTTGTTCTTTTGTGTCTGGCTTATTTCTCTTAGCATAATGTTTTCAAGGTTCATCCATGTTGTAACACGCATCAGAACTTTATTCCTTTTGAAAGCTGAATATTCCATTGTATGTATATCTTTTCATCTGTTGATGGACATTCATACTGTTTCTACCCTTTGGCTATTGTGAATAATGCTGCTATAAACACTGGTGTGCAAATATCTTGAGTCCCTGCTTTCAGTTCCCTTGGGTATATTACTTAGAAGTATAACACTTGCCCATGTAAATTCTAAAAAAAAAAGAAGATGCATACTCTTAATATTACAATTTCAGAACCAATTCAGAGCTGATCTTACAAGGCAATATAGGTAAAATGAGGGCTACTGAAAAAGTATTCCAAGTATTCTAAAATACAGCTGCACTTCTACTACCTTAAGGTGTTGGAAAGTTTCATTTTGATGAGAGCTGGTGATTTGGAAAGGTTCCAAAATAAGAGTTTATATTAAGAAGTGAAACCTCCCTAATATTACCAATAAAAGGTTGTGAAGTTCTTCATTTTCATAGTTTCAATGTTTTCCCTTTAATGGATTGATTACAGTGCCTCATGTGTCTGCATTTTTATATTACGGAGGTTTTGAAAAAGATATAATACTAGAACCATCATAGAATTCTTCTTTATTCAGAAAAATAATTTTTTTTTGAGAGAGTCTCACTGTGTTGCCAGGCCGGAGCACAGTGGCACGATCTTGGCTCACTGCAACCTCTGCCTCCCATGCTCAAGCAATTCTCCTGGCTCAGCCTCCCGAGTAGCTGGGACTACAGGTGTGCGCTACCACACCTAGCTAATTTTTGTATTTTTAGTAGAGATGGGGTTTCACCATGTGACCAGGATGGTCTTGATCTCTTGACCTCATGATCCACCCACCTCAGCCTCCCAAAGAGCTGGGATTACAGTTGTGCAGCACCACACCCGGCCAGAAAAATAAAAATTTTTAAAAAGATATATTACTAGAATCATAGAACTGGGGAGAAATTTTAAATATCTTTCTGAAAAAAACAAACATTGCCTGCATGCAATTCTGCATGCGTGCCCATTCTAGGCACAATGAAAATAAATTTTTTATGGCTGGGTGCAGTTACTCATGCCTGTAAGCCCAGCACTTTCGGGGGCCAAGGCGGGTGGATTGCTTGAGCCCAGGAGTTCGAGACCAGTCGGACAATGTGGCAAACCCCATTTCTATAAAAAATACAAAAACTTAGCCAGGTGTGGTGATATGGCCAGTGGTCCCAGCTACAAGGGAAGATGAGGTGGGAGCATCAGTTGAGTCCAGGAGGTGGAGCCTGCAGTGAACTGAGATTGAGATTGTGCCAATGAATTTCAGCCTGGGCAGCAGAGCCAGACTCTGTCTCAAAAGTAAATAAATAAATAAAGTTTTAAGACTATATTCTAAATCACACATACAAAAGAGTTTCTAACATGTATAGCTACGATGCAGAGAATAAAAAACACATTACTCTTAGTAAGAAAGAGTACATTACCAATATCTTAGAAGCCCTGCATGCCCTTCATATATTGCACTACCCAAGCTTATCCTCAGAGGTAACACTACACTGCATTTAGTGTTTATGTCCCCCCTGCTTCTCTTTATAGTTTTACCACTCATGTTTGTTTCCCTAAACAGTATTTTTAGGTGAGGGGGCTCCTATTTTCCTCCAAAATTGAATAAATTGCATAAATTGAATCCTATCATATGGGTTCTGTGACTTGCTTTTATTTTTTAAGAAAGAGCACTGATTCATTTATTTACTTTCAAGTCTTTATAGTATTCCATTTTATGAATATACTCTAGGTAGATAGTTGAATTGTTTTTAGTTATTATGAATAAACACATTACAACATTATTTAAAAGTCTGTCTTGTGCTCATGGCCAACAGTTTTTCTGAGCTACACAAAAGGAATAGAATAGCTAAGTCTTAGGGTGTACACATATCTAATCTTTCTCGGTGATGTCACTCAGTTTTCTAAAGTGAATGAGAGCAATCTACACAAATTATTTTTCTCCGTATCCTTGTGAGCACTTACTTGTCACACTTCCACATTTTGGTCAATCTAGTTGAGTGAAGTGTTATCCCACTGTGTTTAACTTTGCATTTGTATGACTATTCATGAGGTCAGGTATCTTTTCATATGTTTAACTTTATTTAATTGTCTATGAAATGCCTGTCTTTTTTTTTAGACCGAGTGTTGCTCTCTTGCTTAGACTGGAGTGCAATGGCACAATCTCGGCTCACTGCAACCTCTGCTTTCTGGGTTCAAGCAATTCTGCCTCAGCCTTCAGAGTAGCTGGGATTACAGGCACCCGCCAGCATGATCGCATAATTTTTGTATTTTTAGTAGAGACAGGGTTTTGACATGCTGGCCAGGCTGGTCTCGAACTCCTGACCCCAAGCTATCCACCCACCTCGGCCTCCCAAAGTGCTGAGATTACAGGCATGAACCATTGTTCCCAGGCCATCCATGTCTTTTGCCCATTTTTCTATTGAAGTATGTATTTTTAAAATAGCAATGTATAGCATTAATACAGAAGGATGCAATAAAATAAATGGGGCCAGGCGTAGTGGCTCTCACCTGTAATTCCAGCACTTTGAGAGGCTGAGGTGGGTGGATAGATTGAGGTCAAGAGTTCGAGACTAGTCTGGCCAAAATGGCCAAACCCTGTCTCTACAAAAAATACAAAAATTAGCCCGGCACGGTGGCTTGCGCCTGTGTTCCCAGCTATGTGGTCCCAGCTACCCAGGAGGCTGAGATGGGAGAATCACCGGAGCCAGAACATTGAGGCTACAGTGAGTTATGATTGTGTCACTAGACTCCAACCTGGGTGACAGAGCGAGACCATCTCCATAATAATAATAACATCAATGTACTCTTTATTTTTTCTTATTTTTGCAGGGGGATGGTCTCGCTGTGTCACCCAGGCTGGAGTGCAGTGGCGTGATCTTGGCTCACTGCAACTTCGCCTGCTGGTTTCAAGCAATTCTCCTGCCTCAGCCTCCCAAGTAGCTGGGACTACAGGTGCGTGCCAACATGCTCAGCTAATTTTTTGCATTTTTAGTAGACACGGGGTTTCACCATGCAGAACAGGCTGGTCTTGAACTTCTGACCTCATAATTCACCTGCCTTAGCCTCTCAAAGTGCTGGGATTACAGGCATGAGCCACAGCTCCCGACAAAATATACTCTTTAATTTTAATTCAAACAGCTATGTAACTAACACCTAGGTTTAAAAAAATGCAATGTTGGCCGGGCACAGTGGCTCAAGCCTGTAATCCCAGCACTTTGGGAGGCCGAGGCGGGTGGATCACGAGGTCAACAGATCGAGACCATCCTGGTCAACATGGTGAAACCCTGTCTCTAATAAAAATACAAAATTAGCTGGGCATGGTGGCGCGTGCCTGTAATCCCAGCTACTCAAGAGGCTGAGGCAGGAGAGTTGCCTGAACCCAGGAGGGGGAGGTTTTGGTGAGCCGAGATCACGCCATTGCACTCCAGCCTGGGTAACAAATGTGAAACTCTGTCTCAAAAAAAAAAAAAAAATGTTCAGAGGTCATTACTACTGAGACTTTTCTGGTAATTTTTGTCACGTAGGAATTCTCCTGAACAATATATTTTAGTATTGCCTGCTTCTGAGTGTTATGAAAATGAATTCACCCAGTATATACATTTTTGTCTTTGGTTTCTTATATTTACCATCTTGTTTGTGAGATTTAGATTGTTTCATATGACTGTAGTTTGTAAATTTGTGTTGCTTTTTAGTATCCCATTGTTGATTGGTAGTTGTGTTGCTGTATAGTACACCACAATTCACTGAACTATCCTACTGTGAATGGACACTTGGGCTGTTTCCAGCTTTTTGTTCTCATGAACAATATTGCTAAGAACATTCTTGTAATGTCTCTGGATAGAGTTGAGCAAGATTTTCTCTAGGGTAGGTACTACTTTCCAAAGCAGGTGTTCCAGTTTACATTCTCAACAGCAGTATGTGAGAATTCCTAGTGGTCTACAAATACTTGTTACTGTCAGAGTTCCTAGTTTTTATTTGAGACAGAGTTTCCCTCTTGTTGCCCAGGCTGGAGTACAATGGCGTGATCTTGGCTCACTGCAGCCCCTGCCTCCTGGGTTCAAGCAATTCTCCTACCTCAGACTCCCAAGTAGCTGAGATCACAGGCTTGCGACACCACGAGGGGGCCAATTTTGTATTTTCAGTAGCGACGAGGCTTAACCATGTTGGTTAGGCTGGTCTGGAACTTCTGACTTAAGTGATCCACCTGTCTTGGGCTCCCAAAGCGCTGGGATTATTGGGATGAGCCACCATGCCCCGCTGTGTTTTTCTTTTTTTGGAGATGGAGTCTCACTCTGTCGCTCAGGCTGCTAGAGTACATTGGAACGATCTTCGCTCACTACCGCCTTTGCCTCCTGGGTTCAAGCAATTCTACTGCCTCAGCCTTCCAAGTAGCTGGGATTACCAGCAACTGCCACCACATTGGGCTAAATTTTTTTTTAAGTAGAGACAGAGTCTCATCGTGTTGGCCAAGCTGGTCTCAAACTGCTGACCTCAAGTCAGGAGTCAGGAGGTCAAGTGATCCGCCTGCCTCGACTTCCCAAAATGCTGGGATTACAGGTGTGAGCTCCCACGCCCTGCTAAAGTTCCTAAGTTTTGCCAATCTAGTGGACGTGGTTTAATCCAATCAATTGAAACTAATGTGCTTGCGCACCTTACATGTTTACTGAATATGGATTTTGTCATTTCCAAAGCAACTATTCAGTAATTTTATCAACTTTTCTATTGGGTTGTCTTTTTAGTTTCTATATATTCTGGATAGCAGCCTTTGTCAATCATATGTGTAACAAATTTCTCCCACTCTGTTGCCTTTTCCTCTTATGATGTATTGTGGCTTTTCCCACTTTTCAGTCGTAAGATAATTCACTTGTAAGTTCAGTCACATACTTAGCATTTTTGGTTCATCATGGAGTTGTTATGTATTTTCAAGGTTAGGTTTTTTTTTTTTTTTGGTAGTAATCCAGTCAAATCAATCGCTTCTCGTTAATTCTTTTTGTATCATATATTCCCACCCATTGGTCCTGAAGATATTCCAGAACGTTATTTCCTGCAAGTTCTGGGTTTGCTATTCGCATTCAGGTCTCTGCGCCGCCCAAACTGTGTGTCGCTGTTAGGATCGCTTCATCACCACGTATGCTGGCGACGCCTCTTCCGGCTCTCCTCAGGTGCCGGGATCGCTGGCCTGTTCTTTTATCAGAAATAAGAGATCTATATTTTGTTAATAAAGGAACGTTTTGTGTCCAATAAGGTTTCGTCAATATGCGTGAAAACGCCACATTAAGCTTATTTCGTCTGTGAATACTTAAGCGAAAAAAACACCTCGCCAACAAACTGCCCGGCGACGGACTTTAGGCGCCTCCTTAGTCTCCCCGCTGTCGCCACCACCCTTTTCCTTCTGTCGCAACACGCAGGCGCGCCCGGGCTCACGCGCCGCGCACCGAAGTGCGCCTGCGCCAGGAGACGCCCCGCCCAGTGCCGGCCGAATATAAAATGTGGAGCTTCTCCTCGCGAGAGACTTCGTGTTCATGCTCGCTGCAGGGGTCGGAGGTCAGGGCGAGCGTCTCGCGGGCCGCAGGAGGAAGATGGCGGTGGAATCGCGCGTTACCCAGGAGGAAATTAAGAAGGAGCCAGAGAAGCCGATCGACCGCGAGAAGGTGAAGATCCTTTCCGCTCTGGGGTCCGGGAAGAGGTTAGGGGTGGGCCCGGCAGGGTGCAGAGATGCGGCTTGTGTGCGGGAGGAGGCGGTGTTTTTGGTCTCGGGGCGGCTCGGAGGCCGCGACACCTCGGGAAGGGAAGTGAGGTCCTCGCAGCTGGGGTCTTTAACTTCTGCTCTTCCCTTTTCTGTGTTCCTCAGACATGCCCGCTGCTGCTGCGGGTTTTCACCACCAATAACGGCCGCCACCACCGAATGGACGAGTTCTCCCGGGGAAACGTACCATCCAGCGAGTTGCAGATCTACACTTGGTGAGGGCGGGGGCGGGCTCATGGACCCGTGCCGGGAACCCGGAATATCACTTAATTGCCTTTGCCAGTGTAGTTATTCTCCTTGATTTCAATTTCATTTTTCCACTTGGGGCCTTTGGGCTCGCAAGTAAGAGGTTTCTCTTGTTAGGTGAAAGATTTGCCCGTATTGTAACGCTTTTGTGATTAATGTTGCAACTTTTGGGCGGTTAAGAATTGACAGACCCGAGATTGCTATCATTGTTACAGCTGCTAGGTACAAAAGTGATAGTCAGATAATTAAGTTGTATCCGCCCTAAAGGGACTCATAGTCAAATAAATTGCACTAGGACAACATGGTAAGAGAGAGTGATGTTGTGGAGTGGTATTTGTTATACTCGAGGAGCATTTCCACCTAATATTAAGCCTTAGGTACCAAAACACCAAAAGTGAAAAACTACCAAAACCCGAGTTATTTTCTTGTCTAAGGCTTCATGGAAAAGCTTTTGGTATGTGTTAGTGAAGACTGGTCTCCGAATGTTTCTCTCTTGGGTGTAGCTCCGTACAAACTACTGCAAGCTTGTTTTTAGCCTTGTATATAACTCCTTGGATTGACAGTATAATGGCTTTTTAGTATAAGTAAAAGGTGTGTTCTAAAAAAATGTATATATAAACATTTACATTTACTTAAATAAATATATATAACTGATCCCAAAGGGCCCAATTTATATATACATATATATGTCAGGAGGATTGCTTGAACCTGGGAAGGAAGTGGAGGTTGCAGTGAGCCGAGATTGTGCCACTGCACTCCAAATGTGTTCTCAAAAAAAACATATATATATGTGGTAAACATATGTGTGTATATATATATTTTTGAGACAGGGTCTCACTCTGTTGCCCAGGCTGGAGTGCAGTGGCCTGATCTCAGCTCACTGCAACCTCCATTTCCTGGGTTCAAGTGATTCTTGTGCCTCAGCCTCTCAAGTAGCTGGGATTACAGACACCCATCATCATGCCTGGCTAATTTTTGTATTTTTAGTAGAGATGGGGTTTCACCGTATTGGCCAAGGTGGTCTGAAATTCTTGACCTCAGGTGATCCACCCACCTTGGTCTCCCAGAGTGCTGGGGTTACAGGCTTGAGCTACCATGCCCAGCCTAAAATATATTTTTTATTGTGATAAAAACGTAGATAACAAGCCAGGCACGGTGGCTCACGCCTGTAATCTTGGCACTTTGGGAGGCTGAGGTGGGCAGATCACGTGGGTCAAGGAGTTCAAGACCAGCATGGTGAAACTCTGTCTCTTATTAAAAATGCAAAAATTAGCCAGGTGTGGTGGTACAGGCTTGTAATCCCAGCTACTTGGGAGACTGAGGCAGGAGGATTGTTTGAACCCAGAAAGTGAAGGTTGCAGTGAGCCAAGATTGTGCCACTGCACTCCAGCCTGGGCAACAGAGCAAGACTGCATCTCAGAAAGTATGTATGTATGCATATATTACAAAATTTGCCATGTTAACCTTTTTTTTTTTTTTTTTTTTTAACTTTTTGAATCTCACTCTTGACCAGGCTGGAGCGCAGTGGCGAGATCTCTGCTCGCTGCAACCTCCTGAGTTCAAGCGATTCTCGTGCCTCAGCCTCCTGAGTAGCTAGGATTACAGGTGCCCACCACCACACTTGGCTAATTTTTGTATTTTTAGTAGAGAAGGGGTTTCACCATGTTGGCCAGGTTGGTCTTGAACTCTTGACCTGAAGTGATGCTGCATATTTCATTTCAGTGGACTCATTGCAGTACTTGTCATTTTGTGCCTGGCTTATTTCACTTGTTTCATGGTGTTTTCAGGGTTTACTTATGTTGTAGCATCCATCAGGATTTCCTTCCTTGTTAAGGCTGAATAATATTTCATTGTATGTGTGCGTCACATATGTACTCATCTATTGATGGACACTTGGGTTGTTTCACCTTTTTTACCATTGTGATTAGTGCTGCTGTGAACATTGGCATACAAATGTGTTTGTCTCCCTGCTTTCAGTTCTTTTGAATATATACCTAGAAGTGGTTTACTGGGATGGGATGGGTGTGTGTGTGTGTAAATATATATTTTTTGCCAATCTCCAAATGGTCAGGTAACTAGAAGTTATGTTAATTTTGTTTAATTTTTGAGCACCCACCAAACTTTTTCACAGCAGCTGCACTATTTTACATTCCCAAAAAGATGTATAATTTTAAACTGTGTAAGTCCTGTACACTAGAGCTCAATTCCTTGAAGATTGGGGCCTTACTCATCTTATTTGGAGGTGCTTGTTAAAAGTTACGTAGTAGTATGATACTTGTACTTAAGCATCACTCAAGAGTAAATGCTCCAGAAAGGTTGATTTAACTTATATGGAAGAACTGTTGAATAGTGGCTTGATGAAAAAATCTCTTTTCAGAAATTAAAGTGTATGTTTCTTCCAACAAATAAGAGTTCCTATTTGCCGGGTGTTGTACTTAGCTCCTGAGGGCATAAAGTCAATAAGATACTGCTTCTCCTTGTAGTAAGTCCTTTTATCAGGGAAAGCAGATGAATAAATTAGTGTGATTTTGGGGGTTAAGATGGCAGGGTGAGATTGTTCAACAGACCTTCTACTCTGAATCAAGAAAAAAAATTACCAAAAAATCCTGTCCTAAACTACCCTGAAATTGTAACCAACCAAAGAAGGAATAAGCTTAAGTTATATCGCAAAATGGTTGCCTAAGAAAAGATTCTGAAAGACTGGATGATTGGTGTGGGGGTAACACAAAGGCCCGCCCTCACTCCTGGAAATAGTAATCAGGGAAAATTAGTTAACATATATTGGAAATTCTCAATTGGGAGAAGTAGACTGTGGGGCTAAAGTAGGCAGCCCCAAGACAAGTTACAGAAAGGGAGTGGAAGTCAGAGGAGCCCAGTAGAAGTAGGCTGTGTTCACCAAAGTTTGAGGTGCCCTACGAAGTTTAGAGAACAAGCCAAACGTGCATATCTCCTGTGTGTGGGTAGTCATTAATCAGGTCACTAACAGGGCTCAGCCAGAAAAACAGAATCCGAAGAGATGTGTTAAGAGATATATTGCGGCCGGGCATGGTGGCTCACACCTGTAATCCCAGCACTTTGGGAGCCAAGGTGGGCAGATCACAAGGTCAGGAGTTTGAGACCAGCCTGTCCAACATGGTGAAACCCCATCTCTACTAAAAATACAAAAATTAGCTGGACTTGGTGGCGGGCACCTATAATTCGAAGTACTCAGGAGGTTGAGGCAGGAGAATTGCGTGAACCCAGGATCCAGAGGTTGCAGTGAGCCGAAATCATGCCACTGTATTCCAGCCTGGGCAAGACAGCAAGACTCCATCTCAAAAAAAAAAAAAGAGAGAGAGATTTATTGCAAAGAATTGGCTTACACGATTGTGGGGGCTGTCTAGGCACTTAATTGTCAAATCTGTTGGGCAGGTTCTCAGAAAGGAAAGGCTGCTCTTAGGGCCTACCCAGAAAATAGACGACAGACCCCTGAATTTAAGGTCAACTGGTTGTAGACTTGAATCACATCTACAAAATCTCACAGCAATACCTAGATTAGTGTTTGGTTGAATATCTAGGGACTGTAGCTTCATCAAGCTGACACAAGTACTGAACCCTACCTGTGTCCTCAAGCTTCTGACTAGTGAGAAAGCAACACTCGGCACTCCAATTGTTGGTCTGGAAAGACAGTCTCTTAGAAGGTGGGAAGCTTGTGTAGGTTTTACACTGTCAGAACTGATAAAAGGTGTGAAATCCCCCAAATTCATTATGACCAAGACAATATTGAAAATGTTTTTAGAAAGGAAAAAATTCTTTCTGGTATAGAATCATCGTAAATGTATGCTGTGTATCAGAATATAGATTGAGCATCACAAGTCCAAAATCTGAAATGCTGCAGAATCTGAAATTTTTTGAGAGCTGACATGACCCTGGTGGAAAATTGTACACATAAGTTCTTGACACAAACTTCCTTTCATGCACAAAATTACCTTAAAATAATGTATAAAATTTTGTTCCAGCTATGTGTATAAGGTGTGTTTGAAACATAAATGAGTTTCTCATTTAAACTTGGGATGCAACCCTAAAGTATCTTATGTATATGCAAAAATTCTAAAATCTGAAAACATCCAAAACAGTTCTAGTCCTGTGCATTTTGGGTAAAGGACACTCAACCTGTAATTGATACAGAATAATTAACAGCAGAATATCAGGTTAAAAAGAAAAAGTCACCTAGACAGATAAATCAGTGTGACCTCAAGTTTTTTTTATTTTGTTTTTGAAATAGAGTCTTATTCTGTCACCCAGGCTGGAGTGCAGTGGCACGATCTCGACTCACTGCAGCCTCTGCGTCCCAGGTCAAGTGATTCTCTTGTCTCAGTCTCCTGGAGTAGCTTGGATTACAAGTGTGTGCCACCGTGCCCAGCTCATTTTTTTATTCTTAGTAGAGACAGGTTTCACCATGTTGGCCAGGCTGGTCTTGAACTTCTGACTTTAGGTGACCCCTTTCCATCCCCTTCCAGAGTGCTGGGATTACAGGTATGAGCCACCCTGCCCGGCCTGACCCCAGGTTTTTGCCAACATTGGAGTTCACTGGGGACAAAGTTAAAATAACCAGGGGAGCTGGGCATGGTGGCTCACGCCTGTAATCCCAGCACTTTGGGAGGCCGAGGCGGGCGGATCACGAGGTCAAGAGATCGAGACCATCCTGGTCAACATGGTGAAACCCCGTCTCTACTAAAAATACAAAAAATTAGCTGGGCATGGTGGCACATGCCTGTAATCCCAGCTACTCAGGAGGCTGAGGCAGGAGAATTGCCTGAACCCAGGAGGCGGAGGTTGCGGTGAGCCAAGATCATGCCATTGCACTCCAGCCTGGGTAACAAGAGCGAAACTCCGTCTCTAAATAAATAAATAAAATAACCAGGGGAATTACTGTTGCAGAACAGAATATTAACTCTGACAAAGGTAAAATAAGACACAAAATGGAGGAACAGTAATGATGGGTGTCTTTATCTGTGAAGTTTTATGATTCTTTTACTGTGAATTTTCTCTTCCCAGAATAAAAAATAATTTTTATTAAAATATGTACAGTACTTATAGCATGAATTATATTTTGTATGAGTCTCAGCATGTATAATATGCTTGATATCATAAGGAAATTTTTTTTGTAGTGTATTGCATAAACAAAAAGTTGTCCACAAAAAGTTAACATCACTGGTTATTTCTGATTGGTGAGATTTGGGAACTAATTTATTGCATTATTGCATATGGCTTTTTCCTCTCATGCACATGTGTCAAGTTAGGGAAGGCAGTCATGCACAGCACTCATAGTATATAGAGTGGCCTTTAGTATGAAATATTGCCTTGCAAAGAGATAACGAGCCCTCACAGCTTGTGTTGGGCAGGTATCTGGGAGTATCCTTTCCTGCCCTGGGCTCAATGCGTACTCCTTTGTTTTGCATAAGCATTTATGTTATATGGCACCTGGGAACCCTATTGTTGAATCTTCCCAGTGAGGAGGGAATGGGGGTCCTTTGTCTAGAGCATGCGGGGTGCAGGTAGACCATCTCCCTGCATTGGCTGTGACCTGCTAGCCATGGGGGACTGACACTATTGAAGGTGATTTTAACTCTGTCTCTCCTCTGTGTTAGCAAAGCATTTTCCCGCTAGTGCCGGAGTAGGTTATGTCATTCTTCGTGACTAACAGCTGCAAAGCTTGACATCCTGGGACTGCTTCTCCTGGTGATAGACATGTTCTTTGTTGTCTTCCACACAATGGGACTCCTCTAGAGGTAGCATAGTAACACATGTCACCTGCTTGACACCATTTTATTCAAAAACTTAAAAACTGAGATGGGCTGAAGGTCACATACTGAGAGTTAAATAATGAGAGTTTGAAATAAAGCAGTGATGGTGGGGATGAAGGAGGAGAACCTGTTTGATCTGTATTTAGGAGGTAGAAACAATAAGACTGTGTAACAGGATGGAGATGGGAAGAATTGAAGAATGCTTGGTATTGTGACCTGGGCAGCTAAGTGGGTGACATTTTTGGTAGGAGTATGAGGGGAAGGGGCATGCTTTCAGAATTCTGTCAAGTTCTGTTAGGGGATATTGAGAAAGATTTGTAGCAGTAGAAATCGAAGATGAAGTAGTCATCCTGGGTATTTTTACTCAGAGTTTAGTTGAAGCCGTTGGTTTACTTTGAGTGTGATGTGGTAGCGTTTTGGAAATAGCACAAAGCTAAAACTAAATGCACTGTTGTGTGTTCCTTCTTGATGCTGTGCATTACTAGAGTTCTCCTTCTTCACTAGGGCCTAGTATCCTTGTGCCATTTAATAGCACTCTACAGTGTTGTTTCAAGTTCCAAACCATTGCATTTTCCTGGTTTGTCATGGAAGAAAACAATATAAAAATATATATTAGGTTATTTCTTTTCTTTTTCGAGATGGAGTTTAGCTCTTGTTGTCCAGGCTAGAGTGCAATGGCGTGATCTCGGCTTACCGCAACCTCTACCTCCTGGGTTCAAACGATTCTCCTGGCTCAGCCTCCCAAGTAGCTGGGATTACAGGCATGTAATTGCACCCAGCTAATTTTTTGTATTTTTAGTACAGATGGGGTTTCTTCATGTTGATCAGGCTGGTCTCGAACTCCTGACCTCAGGTGATCTGCCCACCTCAGCCCAAAGTGCTGGGATTACAGGTGTGAGCCACCGCATCTGGCAAAGAAAATGTATACTAGGTTATTATTTCTAAGGTACTTATATTTTAAAATGTTTTTTCAGATTGTGCCATATTAGCTCAGGGGACTAAAGTTGCATTCAAATCAGTTTTTAGGGTAAGAAACTTTATTGTGACAAGAGCCTGTGCTTCATCCTAAGAAAATTTTGTATATTTCATTGGCTGTAGGACTTTTATTTATTGTAAAACTTACCTTTTTTTTTTTGAGACGGAGTTTCGCTCTTGTTACCCAGGCTGGAGTGCAATGGCACGATCTCGGCTCACCGCAACCTCTGCCTCCTGGGTTCAGGCAATTCTCCTGCCTCAGCCTCCTGAGTAGCTGGGATTACAGGCTCGTGCCACCATGCCCAGCTAATTTTTTGTATTTTTAGTAGAGACGGGGTTTCACCATGTTGACCAGGATGGTCTCGATCTCTTGACCTCGTGATCCACCCACCTTGGCCTCCCAAAGTGCTGGGATTACAGGCTTGAGCCACTGACTTATCTTAAGATCCTGTCTAAGAAAGAAGAAACACGTTTGGCTGGGTGAGATCGCTGAGGCCTGTAATCTTTGGGAGGCCAAGGTGGGTAGATCACTTTGAGACCAGCCTGGCCAACATGATGAAACCCCGTCTCTACTAAAAATACAAAAATCAGCTGGATGTGTTGGCGGGCACCTATGATCCCAGCTACTTGAGAGGCTGAGGCAGAAGAATCACTTGAACCTGGAAGGTGGAGGTTGCAGTGAGCCGAGATCTCCAGCCCGAGCGACAAAGCATGACTCGGTCTCAACAAAACAGCAAAAAGCTGTGTGAAAATGCTTTCCCAGGACATTAATTCTAAGATACAGTCTGATTTCAGAGATGGCTAACATGTGGAAGAGTACATGTCTTAGAAGTAATGGAATACATCTATTTTGCTTATTTGGATTTATTTGGACTAGTTACCCTTAGGTAAATCACTAGGCCATAAGGTGTTGCATTGCAACAGAAAAGAGCATATTTAGATTCTCCAAAGTCTCGTTTGGCACTAAGAATATAACTAATTAATTGAAATTTCCAACAGTAAGGCTGGTACAGGGAGTTTTAGGAGGCAAATAGTATTTTTAGCTGCTTTGAAAAAAACTGTAGTATAAGAGGCAGTTTGTAATGTAAGTCACAACTCAGATATATCTAATTGACTCATTGTCAGAATCCTTTTCATATTATTGCTGATGAAGCAAATGTAAATTTCTTTTTTTAAAAACAATCCAGGATGGATGCAACTTTGAAAGAACTGACAAGCTTAGTAAAGGAAGTCTACCCAGAAGCTCGAAAGAAGGGCACTCACTTCAATTTTGCAATCGTTTTTACAGATGTTAAAAGACCTGGCTATCGGTAGGTAACGTCTCATTTTTAATTCCTGTAATCTTTGTTTTTAGTGTGTTTTAACTGATAGACATAACCCCTTTAATGAATCTTCTTCGTGGGGAGAATATGGGTTTATATTAATACCTGGTTGGCTTAATAAAGTACTTAAATTTTGGAACTGTGTTATAAAATGATTGAGCAAATCCAGTCCCATATTCACTTTGTAGTACATATTGGGTTTCCTTGATTTTGATCCATTAACAGTTGGTTTTCCTTCTTGCAGAGTTAAGGAGATTGGCAGCACCATGTCTGGCAGAAAGGGGACTGATGATTCCATGACGCTGCAGTCGCAGAAGTTCCAGATAGGCGATTACTTGGACATAGCAATTACCCCTCCAAATCGGGCACCCCCTCCTTCAGGGCGCATGAGACCATATTAAATTCTATTTACTATTTCTTGAATTTATTTTTCGGTCAGTTGTATAAAATAAACTTTTCCTCCCCTGATTATTGCCATTAAGCCTTTAAATTCCAAACAAATTATCATGCATCATCTATTTAGGAATTAGATTTGGATGTGCTATTGTATGATTACTAGTAGAAAGTCCGTATGTTTCAAGCTCTTCTGTAAAATATGAAGAAAAGTGCTCTTAGCATTCTGTGTCAAACTGTACTGTTATAATATATGTATGTAATCAGCTTGAGTGTGCAAGTTAATGGAGGCCTGGGAGCAGGGTTTATACTGAGTAGTAGAGGAGGGTATGGTTAAGCTCACAGGGGCAGAACAAGAAAGCCTTGGGATTGTATGAAATCAAACATGAGTTTGTGGTATAGACTGCTGTATGCAGTTGGAAAGACATGCGAGAGTGAGCTCAAGTGGCAGCAGAGGCAGTTTGGAATAGTATAAGCTGAGGCAAGTTGAAGCAGCTGTGTTGGAGGTGATTGGCCTGCCTTAATTAGGGTACCATGACATAAAAGGCTAACAGGCACCACAGTGAGGGCTTCTTCTATTTTTAACATGTGGGGAATAGGGCATTTTAAAGGCTGGAACCATTTCAGAGGAAACAAGGATTTGGACTTATGGTAAAAGTGGAAAGGTTTACCTTGAAGATCTGCACATGGAGGCAGGGGTGAAGGAGGAATTTTAAGAATGAGGAAGAAGCACTAAAGACAAGGTCAGGTTGAGTGAATAGGAGGTATTCACACATCCTCTTATGTGCTGGGTAATGGCCTGCATCTGATTTGAGAGGCAGTGATTAAGACCAATGCATAAAAACATTTAAATCCTGATTGCAGCAGTGGCTCTGTAACCTTGGATAATTTACTTGAATCTTTATTTTGTAAAATGGAGATAATGGCCTATAGGACTGTGAAGACTGAATGTTTTAAAAGAGCTTAGAATACTGCTTGACAGATGAGAAACCATAAATACTGGTTTTCAGCTGTAAAGTGGAATTAAAACTGGAACTCTTTTCTTCCATGGCACTATTATAGTCTCGTGAAATTTATCAACGGTATGACAGAGTGTATTTTCTGATTCCCTTTAGTCTGTTACAGTAGCAAATTGAAAATGTATATCCCAAAATTTAATAAAATTGCACTAGTTTTATCTGGTACATACAAAAACAGCCATTTGAAATTTAATGATTCTGTGGAGTTGGTGTTGCTGTTAGTCAGCAGAGACCAGCCTGAGCCTATCTGGTGCCTCTTCTGTGCTGAGATTTTACCCCAAACCTTTAGGTGGTTTATTCATTCAGATTAGATAGACTGGAGCCTTATTAACTATAAAGCCTTACCAACTTTATAGTTAATTTAAACCTAGCTTTTTGGAGAATAGCCATTATTAACTTCCTATTCGTGGGGAGAAAACACCCTGTGATTTACTATGCAGATGAGGGTAGGAACTAAATAAAGCCCAAGTGGTTGGGCTGGTTTGTCAAATTGCACCCTTTGCTTGGTTCCAACATGGATTTTTTCCTTGAAGATTTCAATATTCCACCAAAAGTACAGTTAGAGAATACCTAGTGAATTTATTGAATATAATGTTCAGAATCAAAAGACTTGTACTTGGTCCTTGTTTACCTCTGGCTTTGGTAAGTAACTGTGACTTTGAGTAATAACAGCTGTTTCCCCAAATATAAAATAGAAATAAATAGTCATCATGACAGCCTTTTGCTCAGTGCTTTAGTGTCTGCCCTGGTTGCTTCATTTGCTAAGTCTTTTGGAATTGACATTTTCCCTTTGGAATATGTGAGTTATGGTACATAACATTACCTATAATGTCTTTTTAGTTTTTCACAGTGTACAAAAGCTGGGACAGTTATGCTCAGCTGATCATTGACTCAGGTAATGTTTTAGGTATGTATGTATGTACAGTTTTATGCATGTAATGGGCAGGTATGAATGGGGGGTAGAAAGAAGACTATTAGGCTAGGTTTAAAATTCTCTAAAATTTAACTGATATTAAATAATAAAGAGCTGAACTTGATATACCTCTTTCTTGTTCAATTAAACACACATTTCAAACTTTTTTGTGAAACTGAGAAGGCAACATTCTAAATCAAGCTTATAACTATGATTTAAGTGTTTATTTGTGCCAAATACAGATGGTCTCCAACTTATGATAGTTCAACTTTAGATTTTTCAGCTTTGTGATGGTACATAAGTGATAAGCCATTCACAAACGGTCCTCAGAATATTATGGGGCATGTCCCAGTAAACCCACTGTGAACTGAACATAAGTAGAAAGTGTGGTTTTGACTTAGGATTTTTTTTTTTTTTCCGAGTTTTGCTCTTGTACCCCAGGCTGGAGTACAGTAGTGCAAACAGCTCACTGCAACCTCCACCTCCCAGGTTCAAATGATTCTCCTGTCTCAGCCTTCCCAGTAGCTGGGTTATAGGTACATGCCACCACGCCTGGCTAATTTGTAATTTTAGTAGAGACAGGGTTTCATCATATTTGTCAGGCTGGTCTCGAACTCCTGACCTCAGGTGATCTGCCCACCTCGACCTCCCAAAGTGCTGGGATTACAAGTGTGAGCCACCATGCCTGGCCTACTTAGGATATTCTCAACTCCTGAAGCGTTTATCCAGACATGACCTCATGAGTAAGGAACATTTGTACTATGCTGAGGAACAACTTGACTAGCATTATCTCATGTAACCACAACTGAGAAACAGTGACTATAGTTTCCATTTAGAGGTGAAAATGAGACCTAGATTGAGGGGCTACTTTAAATAACAGCTCAGAAGTGGAGCATTGGACCTAGGTAGGCAAAAATAGAGGATTAGTTGAAACAGTTCCAGAAATAATGTTCTTTCATACTCAGTTTCTTGCTGTCAGTTTATTACAGTCTGGCTTCCATCCATACTACACTGACACTATTCTTGTAGTGATGTCATCCCCTACAATAGCAACTTTTGCCTAGAGTAAGTAGACCTCCTTTATTCAGTTCTTACACAAACCCAAAATGCCTCTCTTAATTAATGACAAGGTCATAGTTTCCACTCTGAATGTGATAAGAGCAGCCAGATGTCTGCCTGTTTTGGTCTGTTTTCTATTACTTAAATACAGGTTGCTGTTGCAAATAACTAATTTCCTGGAGTCTGCAATGGCACAAGCTTGAAGGAAGTTATGTTTATTCTGTTAGGATTAATCATGACTAGGCAACCATTCTGTGAGGACAAAATCATAGATTCTCCCCTTAAGAACTCCTTAGGAGAAATAAGCTAAACATAAAAGTAATTTTAAGGCTGGGCGCCGTGACTCACGCCTGTAATCCCAGCACTTTGGGAGGCTGAGGTGGGCGAATCAGGAGGTCAGGTGTTCCGAGACCAGCCTGGCCAATATGGTGAAACCTCAGCTCTACTAAAAAGACAAAAATTAGCTGGGTGTGGTGTTGCACACCTGTAATCCCAGCTACCAGGAGTCCGAGGCAAAGAGTGCAGTGAGAGCACACCATTGCACTCCAGCCTGGGCAACAGAACGTGACTCCATCTCAAAATATATATATATTTAATACTAAAAAGTAGTTGTAATAAGCAAAAGTCCTTAGCCTTGGAATGTTATGCAGACCTTATTATACAAAGATGTTGTATTGATATCCCTGCCTCATAAAACGTGGGAGGAGTCAGTGAAATTAGGGGAGAGCCTGGTGGGCAGTGAATGTTCAGTAAAGGTAAGCTATTTTAAAAGGAGAAAAAGCATTTCTAGCCGCTCCAATGTGTTCCTTCAGCTGTTTAGAATTTCCTGTCCTACCCACGCTGGTATGTCAACCCAGTTACCAACCAACTCATAAGAAAATTTAACAGGGTTTGGCTGGGTGCGGTGGCTCACACCTATAATCTCAGCATTTTGGGAGGCCGAGGTGGGCAGATCGCCTGAGGTCAGGAATTCAAGACCAGCCAGATCAACACAGTGTGAAATCCTGTCTCTTACTAAAAACAAAAATTAGCCAGGTGTGGTGGCACATGCCTGTAATCCCAGCTACTAGGGAGACTTGAGGTGGGAGAATCACTTGAACCGAGGTTGCAGTGAGCTGAGATGACAGCACTGCAGTTGGCCTGGGTGATGACACAGATGCTGTCTCAATAATAATAGTAGTAATGGAATTTGATGAAATTAGAGCAATTTAAGAATGAAGTGAAACTGAAGGATACTCAAAATCTTGAAAATTTGGCCGGGTACAGTGGCTCATGACTGTAATCCCAGCACTTTGAAAGGCCAAGGCGGGCACATCCTGAGGTCAGATTGAGACCATCCTGGCCAACACGGCGAAACGCCTTCTCTACTAAACACAAAAATTAGTCGGGCATGGTAATATGTGCCTGTAATCCCAGCTACTTGGGAGGCTGAGGCAGAATTGCTTGACCCTGGGAGGTGGAGGTTACAGTGAGCCAAGATGGTGCCACTGCACTCCAGTCTGGTGACAGAGCAAGACTGTCTTAAGAAAAAAATCTTTCCAGCCAAACTGAGCTTCAGAATGTAGGGACATGGATGAATCTGGAAAACATCATCCTCAGCAAACTGACACAAGAACAGAAAATGAAACACCGCATATTCTCACTCATAGGTGGGTGATGAAAAATGAGAACACATGGACACAGAAAGGGGAGTACTAAACACTGGGGTCTATTGGGGGGAAAAGGGGAGGGCCAGTGGGAGGGGGAGGTGGGGAGGGATAGCCTGGGGAGAAATGCCAAATGTGGGTGAAGGGGAGAAGAAAAGCAAAGCACACTGCCATGTGTGTACCTACGCAACTGTCTTGCATGCTCTGCTCATGTACCCCAAAACCTATAATCCAATAAAAAATTTAAAAAAAAAAAGAAAAAAATCTTGAAAATTTTAGGCGAGTTCCTATTTTATATACCCGGTGCTATGAACCTGGCAATACAAAGATCAGTTTAACACAGACGCAGATCCTTCCTCAAAATCTTACAGTCTAGTAAGGAGGAAAGGGTGCAAATATTGATAAAAGGTAGACAGCCGGGTGCCATGGCTCACACCTGTAATCCCAGCACTTTCAGAGGTTGAGGTGACTGGATCACCTGAGGTCAGGAGTTCGATACCAGCCTGATCAACATGGAGAAACCCTGTCTCTTGGCCGGGCATGGTGACTCACGCCTGTAATCCGAGCACTTTGGAGGCCAAGGCGGGCGGATCACCTGAGGTCGGGACTTCAAGACCATCTTGGTCAACATGGTGAAACCCCGCCTCTACTAAAAATACAAAAAAATTAGCTGGGCATGGTGGCGCGTGCCTGTAATCCCAGCTACTCAGGAGGCTGAGGCAGAATTGCCTGAACCCAGGAGGCGGGGGTTGCGGTGAGCCGAGATCGTGCCATTGCACTCCAGCCTGGGTAAGAAGAGGGAAACTCCGTCTCAAAAAAAAAAAAAAAAGCCAGGCGCGGTGGCTCACGCCTGTAATCCCAGCACTTTGGGAGGCCAAGGCGGGTGGATCATGAGGTCAAGATAGAAACCATCTTGGTCAACATGGTGAAACCCTGTCTCTACTAAAAATACAAAAAATTGGCTGGGCATAGTGGTGTGTGCCTGTAATCCCAGCTACTCAGGAGGCTGAGGCAGGAGAATTGCCTGAACCCGGGAGGTGGAGGTTGCGGTGAGCCAAGATCGCGCCATTGCACTCCAGCCTGGGTAGCGAGCGAAACTCCGTCTCAAAAAAAAAAAAGAAACCCTGTCTCTACTAAAAATACAAAATTAGATGGGAAACGATCCAAGATGGCCGATAGCTAACATCCCGGGATTGCAGCTCTCAGGGAAGGCGCGGAGAACTAGAGGACGCCACACTTTCAGACAAAGTCTGGTAGCTCACGGAGCAGGAGATCCCCCAGTGGAGGAAACACACGGGTGGCCAGCGCGACTCTAGTGGCCGGTGCAGCAGTTCCGCCGGCACCTTGGCGCGGCAGCTCTCGGAGCAAAGTAAACAGGTTCGGAGGACCTGCACAGGTCCCCAGCAGGACACCAGAGCCCGGCGCAGCTGCTGTGACGGCACCTCGGCGCGGGGGCGCTCGTGGCAGAGTAAACAGGACCGGTTTCCCTTCTGACCGAGGTTTGGAGCCCCGGGAAGACAGAGTCGCCTACTACCGACACAAGAAGGAAGCCCGACAGGAGAATCCTGGGCAGAAAAGGCCCAGGGATCTAACAACCTGGACGTCCACTCAAGAGACCTAATCTGAAAGTTGGTAATTTCAAAGAGGACAGGAGGATAAATTTACAATGATGGGAAGAAACCAGCATAAAAAAGCTGAGAATACTCAAAATCAGAATGCCTCTCCCTCTAAAGATGATCACAGTTCCACATCGACAATGGAACAAGGCTTGATGGAGAACGAGCGCCTCCTGATGACAGAATCACTCTTCAAGGAATGGATAATAAGAAACTTCAGTGAGTTAAAAGACCATGTTGTAGCCCAACGTAAAGAAACTAGGAACTTTGAAAAAAGGTTTGATGAAATCCTATTGAGAATAGACAACTTAGAGAGGAGTATGAGTGAATTAATGGAACTAAAGAATACAATACAGGAACTCCGAGAAGTATGCACAGGTTTAAAAATACAAAATTAGCTGGGCATGGCGGTGCATGCCTGTAATCTCAGCTACTTAGGAGGCTGAGGCAGGAGAATCACTTGAACCCAGGAGGCGGAGGTTGTGGTGAACCGAGATTGCACCATTGCGCTCCAGCCTGGGCAACAAGAGCGAAACTCTCTCAAAAAAAAAAAAAAAGGTCCAATATGGCGGCACCCAATAACGGTGTGAACTGTGAGGAGTTCGCCAAGTTCCAGGTGATGAGGTTTTTCCTCATGTGGCAGGAATTACTCAAGGTGATGAGGACAATTGATGACAGAATAGTACATGAATTAAACACTACGGTTCCAACAGCTTCCTTTGCAGGGAAAATTGATGCCAGCCAAACCTGTAAACAACTTTATGAGTCTTTGATGGCAGCTCATGCCAGTAGAGACAGTCATAAAAAATCGTGTAGCCCAGACATCAGAAGTAATAGAAAACCTCCGAGAAGAGAGAGAAAAGGGACGATTTAACATTATTAAAGCAACTTAAAAAAAGAGCAGACAAAGTTGAAATGGATGCAGTCAGAACTGAATGTTGAAGTGGTAAATGACAGGAGCTGGAAGGTGTTTAATGAACGCTGCCGAATTCACTTCAAGCCTCCAAAGAATGAATAAAGAGAGATACTTTTTTTTTTTTTTAAAGGACCTGGTCATCTCCTAAGAGCTAAGCATGACAGGTATCAACAGGGTGGGCTTCCTAGGATGATTTCTGAGCCAACAGTCCAAGACCTTTTGTTGATTTCAGACCCACTTAGCCAAGACCTCAAATATAAATAATTCTGATAATTATGGAGAAATCAACTGCTATTTTATACTGAGTCTGTAAAAAAAAATTTTTTTAACTATTAAAACAATTTTCTGACTCAGTGTAAAAAAAAAGTGGTCAGAAAAATGTCACAAGAAAGTACTGAAGAGACTGTGGTAGGATAATGAAAGGTTTTCTACAGATGGCATTTAAACTTGTTCAACTCCTACAAGTGGAGTGGGATCTGCACTCCAAATAAAGGGCACAGCATGAGCAAAAGAGGAAGTGATGAATTCACAATCAATGGAGCACTTACCTACTGACCTTTGGCAGGAGTTCCAGATAAAGAGGAGTATCAGATAATTCCAAAGTATTGTAATAATCTAGGTGACAATCAGGGTAGTGGTAGAGAGATGTTAAAAGATCCTGCATAGGGCTTGGCAACCAACAAGACTTGGGATGGGAAATGGGACATGGAAAATCAATCATTAAAGCCTCAATTTCCTCATTTGAAAAATTGGGTACCTACCTCAAAGAGTTAATTGCACACGGCTTAATTCCCTTCATGGCTCCAGCTGTACCACTGCATCTCCAGAAGTGTACTGCTCTTTCCCAGTACTTCCCCAGCCCCAGAATGGGCTTTCATTGACCTGACTTGAAGTTGTGATATTGCTTGGTTGAGCTTGGAGCTGGCCTGTAAGTTCTTAAGGGGCAGACAAAAGCATCAAGTGTCTACAAATTAAGGATGAGGGAGTGTTATCAGAGTGGGTGGGAAAAAGTATTCCAGGATGAGCGCAGCCTGTGCGAGGACCAGGAGCAGGAAGAATGGAGGAGCGGAAGAGGGTCCTGTGGCTGGAGCCCAAGGGGCAGGAGGGAGAAGCAAGCTAGGGTCAAATCATGTAGGGCCATGTAAGTCGTATGAATCTTGGATTTCATTTTAAGAGCACTGGGAAGACACACCTGAAAGATCCCCATGTTTGAAGCTTGACAAGCTAGAAGCATCAGTTCTAAGAAACTAGGATCATAGGAGGAAGGTGGTAAGGGTTAGGGAAATACGACTTGGACAAACAGGGGCCACCTCAAAGCTGATAATCATAAATGCTTAACAGTCTTGATTGCCCATTGATGTGTTTGGCTGTGTCCTCACCCAAATCTCCCCTGAATTGTAGCTCCCACATGTTGTGGGAGGGACCCAGTGGGAAGTTAACTGAATCATGGGGAACAGGTCTTTCCCATGCTGTTCTCATGATAATAAGTCTCTCGAGAACTGATGGTTTTATAAAGGGGAGTTACCCTGCACGAGAATCACTTGAACCTGAGAGGTGGAGGTTGCAGTGAGCCAAGATCACACCACTGAACTCCAGCCTGGGTGACAGAGTGAAACTCTGTCTCAAAAATAAACAAAAAAAAATTCTTCACTACATAACCTCTTCTAGTTACTGCCCCTCCTCTCGTCTACCTTCTCCAGCAAAAATTTACAAAAGAGCTGTCTAAAGCCAGTTTTACTCCTCAGCTGTTTTCCATCCATTACAGACTTCTAGTACCAGCACTCCACCAAAATTAATGTTGTCAGTAACATCAACTTTGCCACACCCAGCAGTCAATTCTCAGTCCTTTTACCTGAATTCTCAGCAATATTGACAGAATCATCACTCTCCTTGAAATATTTTCTTCCTACTTCACTGGCCTCTTCTCACTCTCCTTTGCTAGGCCTCTTTCCATCCTCTAAAGTTGGGAGAACTCCAGGATTTGGTCCTTGGTACACTTTGAATATATTCCCTCCCTAAGCAGCTAACCCGGTTCTATGGATTTATATATGCACTACACAGTGAAAAGCTGGTATACATGTCAGAGCCAATGGCATATATAAGGCTGACTAGAACTTTACTTTGAAAAACAAAAATATCTTAAAATTTTATTTTACATTATATTTAACAGATTATACTTACAACTACACAGTAACTCCTAAAACAAAGACAAAATCAAGTTTTGTTTTGGTGACAGTTTTCTGACAAGATTAACAGAGCATAATGGACAGATCCTCCATTTGACTTTCAAGGAACAATCATAAAACAATCCCCAAGTGTTTGGCATTACAGGCATGGGCCACTGTGCCCAGCATGCCTTTACATTTTAAAAATTATTTGTCCCACTTCCCGGTACTACTTAAACCATTCTGTTGATTAACCAGGGTAATTTAGTATCAATGAAACATTAATAATCCTTAAAGAGTGAATGACAGGACTACATGTCAACAAGACTAAGGTTAAACCTTATATCAAAACTTCATAAAAAGAATATTATGATGTCAATGTCCATGTTCCTCTATAAAATGGGTCAATTTTTTTTTTCTTTTTTTTTTTGAGACAGAGTTGCACTCTGTCCCCCAGGCTGGATTGCAATGACATAGTCTCAGCTCACTGCAACCTCCAGCTCCAGGGTTCAAGCAATTCTCTTGCCTCAGCTTCCTGAGTAGCTGGGATTACAGGTACCCGACACCACGCCTGGCTAATTTTTTGTATTTTTAGTAGAGATGGGGTTTCACCATGTTGGCCAGGCTGGTCTCAAACTCCTCACCTTGTGATCCACCCGCCTTGTCCTCCCAAGTGCTGGGATTTCAGGGGTGAGCCACCGCACCCGGCTAAAATGGGTCAATTTTCAAAAGGGGGAAAGAGGCAGGGGAATGTGAATGACAAAATTGGTCCAGCTCTGCTTTCATCTCATTTTGTTCAGTGTCTGTAATGGATGGATCCACTAGAATTTCTGCAACAGATACAAATAAAAAATATCAATTTAATATAATTAAAAGCCATTAAGACAAATTACACAATACTGTGGCTATATATTTTACACTTATAAAATAATTGGGCCGAGTTTGGTGGCTCATGCTTGTAATCCCAGCACTTTGGGAGGCCTAGGTGGGGGATCATGAAGTCAGGAAATTGAGACCATCCTGGCCGACATGGTGAAACCCCATCTCTAATAAAAATACAAAAGTTAGCCAAGCTTGGTGGTGGGCACCTAGAGTCCCAGCTACTCAGGAGACTGAGCCAGGAGAATTGCTTGAACCAGGGAGTTGGATGTTACAGTGAGCCGAGATCATGCCACTGCACTCCATCCTGTCGACAGAGCAAGACTCCGTCTCAAATAAAAAATAATAATTGTCGACAGATTTCCACTGATATCATTAAACTGGATAATTCGGGAGTCTGAGATTCAGGGATCTCAAGTTCTATATTAAAAGAGACACCCTATTAACCTAGCAAATGTCAATTAAAAACAAAATTTTTTACTAACATTCGAATGTTAATTTTTAAATGTCCTCCTCAAATAACACAGAAACTTTTTTTTTTTTCAGACAAAGTTTTGCTCTTGTTGCCCAGGCTGGAGGCAATAGCATGATCCTGGCTCACTGCAACCTCCACCTCCTGAGTTTAAGCGATTCTCCTGCCTCAGCCTCCGGAGTAGCTGGAATAACAGGCATGCACCACCAAGCCCAGCTAATTTTTGTATTTTTAGTAGAGCTGAGGTTTCTCCATGTTGATCAGGTGGGTCTTGAATGCCTGACCTCAAATGATTCACCTGCCTTGGCCTCCCAAAGTGTTGAGATTACAGGCGTGGGCCACTGTGCCCAGCCAAACAGGAATTTTCTTTTTCTTTTTTTTTTTTGAGACGGAGTTTTGCGCTTGTTACCCAGGCTGGAGTGCAATGGTGCAATCTTGGCTCACCGCAACCTCTGCCTCCTGGGTTCAGGCAATTCTCCTGCCTCAGCCTCCTGAGTGGCTGGGATTACAGGCACATGCCACCATGCCCAGCTAATTTTTTGTATTTTTAGTAGAGGCAGGGTTTCACCATGTTGACCAGGATGGTCTCGATCTCTTGACCTCGTGATCCACCTGCCTCGGCCTCCCAAAGTGCTGGGATTACAGGCGTGAGCCACCGCGCCTGGCCAGGAATTTTCTTTACAGAGGTGACATACTCACCAGTTCTTTGTTGCTAGCATCTTGGATGTTCTGTCCATGTTTAAGAAACCTTTTGCTGGGTGGCATTGCTTTAATTGCTATTGGAGTAGCTACATTTGAGTTGTACTTTGATAAAAGCTGAAAAAAAAAAAAAAAGCAAATTCCTTTTTATCAAGTCACATGAACAACATAACCTAAATTTGGAAGAAGTCATACAATGATAAAATGTTCAAAAAAAGCTATGGGTCGAGTACAGTGGCTCACACCTATAATCCCAGCACTGGGAGGCCAAGGTAGGGAGATTACCTGAGGTTAGGAGTTTGAGACCAGCCTGGCCAACATGGTGAAACCCTGTCTCTATTAAAAATACAAAAATTAACTGGGCATATTGCCACACACCTGAGCAGTAGTCCCAGATACTCAGGAGGCTGAGGCACAAGAGTGACTTGAACCGGGAGGCAGAGGTTGCAGTGAGCTGAGATCACGCCACTGCACTCCAGCCTGGGAGACAGAGCAAGACTCGGTCTCAGAAGAAAAAAAAAAGACATGCTAACAGCAATGAAAAGATGGAGATACTAGAAATTTAACTTGGATGTGAAGGACTGATTTTTAAATCCTAAAATGTATTCTAACTAACTGAAGTCAGTGAAAACAAGTAGCAATACATCCCTGAGAGCAAATTAAGCCTTTACAAAGATGTTAGGGAAATTATACAAAGGAAAGACATGAAACAAATACTCGAACGAAAGGTCATCAATTGTAAAAATTATGAAAGGAGACCCTGAAATATCAGCTATAATTTTTCATGTATAAAGAGGTGATATATTAAGTATAAGGTTTCCTTCCTTTTACATAGAAATAGGAGATGAGGCCGGGCGTGGTGGCTCAAGCCTGTAATCCCAGCACTTCGGGAGGCCAAGGCGGGTGGATCACGAGGTCAACAGATCGAGACCATCCTGGTCAACATGGTGAAACCCCGTCTCTACTAAAAAAAAATACAAAAAATTAGCTGGGCATGGTGGCGCATGCCTGTAATCCCAGCTACTCAGGAGGCTGAAGCAGGAGAACTGCCTGAACCCAGGAGGCAGAGGTTGCGGTGAGCCAAGATCGTGCCGCCATTGCACTCCAGCCTGGGTAACAAGAGCAAAACTCCGTCTCAAAAAAAAAAAAAAAAAAAAAAGAAATAGGAGATGAAGCACCCATTGGGAAGTGGAAACTGTAATTTGCATAAAAACAGAAGATGCCCCTTCTTCACACAATTTATTATAACTTCCAGAAAAGCAGAAAAGAGGATAAGAAGTACTTCATTGATATCCCAGTATAAGTCAGTTCTAATGGCATTTGGGTACTTTCCTAAGTGATTTATCCTTCTCCTGGGTCTCCATAAGGCATCAAGATTTCTAGGATGGTTATTAAGAATTCCACACGTGTAAGTAATAATTGCCAAACACTATAACTTCTATTAAGAGGAGAGGGACTGTCAAAGAATCAGACTGGTTATTTAGAATTGGCAGTTGTTATAAGTCATTAGTAGACTAATGGTAACTGCTATTAAATACAAGAATCAGATACAGTCATGCATCACTTAACAATGGGGATACAACTTGAGAAATGCATCATTATGATTTCACTGTGCGTGAACACCATAGTACTTACATAAACCTAGATGGTATACCCTACTACGTACCTACGCTATATGGTATAACCTATTGCTCCTAGGCTACAAACCTGAACAGCATGTAACTGTCCTCAATAGTGTAGGCACTTGCTACACAGTGGTAAGTACTTGTGTATCTAAGCATAGAAAATGTACAGTAAAAATACAGCATCATGATCTCATGATACCCTGGCTCTGGGAAATTGTAGTGTAAATAAATGACTTTACTGACTTTGCCAGCAAAACTTCTAATGGAACCATGATCAGTAAGGAAGCCACAGTTGAACAAGCATTAGAAAATAAGGTCCTGACAGCCTAGAATCTAGATTTTCTCACCACCAAAATTAGCACATTAGCCCAATGATAAATAAGACAGTTTATATGCAGTTTCAGGTCTTTAAATACTTCACTTTGAAAGAATATCAGAAAAAAAAAAATAGCCTGGAAAAATAACCTGGAGAATATCTTCTGGAATTTTAGTTACTTCTGGAGGTGTAGGTGTTCTGAGAAGATTCTCGTAAGAAGAAATCGTAGGTGAAGAGAGATCTGTTAAATTCTCAAAGCATGTGTCTGAATTTAAAACCAACGAAGTACAATCTTTAACTTCCAAATCATTTGATGAACAATTTGTTTTTGGTAATGGGTAATTTGTGGATACCTATTGAATAAAAATAAACCATTAAATTATGGTCATAGAATATAGTAAATAAAAATGGTTAGTCATTTGTTAGTTCTATTGTGGTCTCTAAGTAGGCCCCCATCTACCCCATCTTCTCTGACCAAGATCTAAACAAAATCAAGAACAAATGGCATATAGAGGACAAAATACCATCTTCATTATTAACAAAGGCTGAGGTAAAGCTTAATGTCAGCTGGGTGTGGTGGCTCATGCCTGTAATCCCAGCACTTTGGGAGGCCGAGGTGGGTGGATCAGAAGATCAGGAGTTCAAGATCAGCCTGGCCAACATGGTGAAACCTCATCTCTATAAAAAAACAAAAAATTAGCTGTGTGTGCTGGCGGGCATGCCTGTAATCCCAGCTACTCGGAAGGCTAAGGCAGAAGAATCGCTCGAACCCAGGAGACAAAGGTTGCAGTGAGCTGAGATCACAACACTGTACTCTAGCCTGGGTGAAAAAAAAAAGCTTACTGTCATAACTAAATAGATTTAACCCCAGATTTAGATGGATACACCCACCCCATCTCAGGCAACAGTAAGTGTGGTCAGACGAAAGTCACAGCATGAATGAACAAGTGTTACCACATGCCCTCCCAAGAGGAAGAAAGCAGATCAGCGGTAAGTTTAAGCATGCAGATTATTCATGCTAAATCAGCCAACTAGATAGGTCGCTCCAGCTCTCTCGGGTCAGAGTTAATAGAAAGAGAGGATAGAGTGTTTCCTCAGTAGTGTATCTTCCACATGAACAGAAACATAAGGAGTAGATTAATTGTAAATGGCAGGTAGTAACAGGCAGATAACCTCATACTTCAATTGGTAACACAGCTATGTTCATCTACAGCTGCACTGTCTAATATAGTAGTCACAGCCACATGGGGCTCTTTAGGTTTTAAGATACTTAAATTTAAAGAATTAAATATTAGTTCTTCAGATATATTAGCCGCATTTTCAGTGCTCAATAATATGTGATTAGTGGCCACCATATTGGACAGTGCATATTATAAAACATTTCCATCATTATAGAAACTTCTATAGAATATACCCCAATACAGTACTGGTTTTCTATAGCATTGGTTAAGTGACCATATTGACTAAAGAGAGATAAGGTTTTAATTTGATGAAATCTGATTAAATTTATTCATTGGTAAAATTTAGGGAAAAGCACAAAATCACCATAATTCTATCACCCAGATACAGTTTGCTATTTCTATCCACTTTTTCCTTAAAATATGTGTGTGTATATATGTGTGTGTGTGTGTGTACATACACATTTTCCTTACGATTAGTATTTTTTGAAAACATTCTCTTTATATGCGCTCATCTGTTTTTCAAAACATATGATAGTATATATAACACCTGATCTTATGGATATGCCTTGCTGTGTTTCAGCTCTTCTATATCATTCAATATTTATACTGTTTCCCATGTTTTGTGCTTACAAATAATGCTGTTCCTTACTCTATAACTTGTTTTCAATCTTTGTCCCAATTTGCCTTAGAAAGAATACTGAGATATGGTTTAAGAGTATGAAAAATATTTTTAGGGCAATTGATTTATACTGCCAAGTTACCCTCCAGAAATGCACTGCAAATACATTCCTAAAAGCTGGATACGTCTATGTCTTTTAAACACTCTTTGAGCCTGCAAGCAGTAGTGTATCTGAGTCTTTAGGAGAAAGACTGTGGCTTTCAATTTTATGGAAAGTTACCAAAGCTATGCTGTTCTTTGTAGATGGAATTTTCAAACCAGGAGTACACAATGTAGGTACCAAAGGAGAATCTGTAAACTCAGCATCTAAAAGACACATAAAATAGTCATAAAAAAATTATAACTATAGTGTGCTTAACTGGATAGGAAAAAAAAACCCTAATTCACATATGTAATTATCATTAGCACTAATAAAGTTCAGCAAGGATGTAAGAGTAACACACAACAACAAATAGTTGTTATATAATAAACATAAAAGCAACAAACTATTACACATATAGTTTGAAAGAAGTTACTTTTCACAGTAGCAACAAAGACAAGGCACCTACAAAGATATCTATTAAAATGGTATAAAACCTTTATGGAGAAAATTATCAAACTTCTGAAGGAGGAAGAGGAAGAGAGAGAGCAGGTCACTTGCCTTCCAAGATGGCAGGACTTACTCTAAAGCTACAGTAGTTAAAAACAGTGTAACATTAACCAGGGATGGAAAAATTAAAGATGAGAACAAGAAATACCCATGCATATATAGACATTTGCTATCTAGAACACACAGTTATCATCAAGTCAACCTTAAAAAACATCAAAGAGGGCTGGGCACGGTGGCTCACGCCTGTAATCCCAGCACTTTGGGAGGCCGAGGTGGGCGGATCACCTGAGATCGGAGTTCAAGACCAGCCTGACCAACATGGAGAAACCCATCTCTTTAAAAAAAAAATCAAAGAGAAAAGGTAAATATGTTAGAAAAACAATCTAATTGTCAAAATGTTTTAAGTCTAAAAATCATCAAGTGCTGGAAAAGATGGAGAAACAGGAACTCAACACCACTAATGAGAAGATAAATCTTAACAGCCACTCTTAGCTGACTATTCAGCATTTTCTAGAATAAGTAAAAATGTGCATGCCCTTTGACCTGGCAGTTCTACTCCTAGATATGAGAAACACACATATGCACAAGGGAAAATTTCCTTGGAGCACTGCCTATAACAATAAAAAATAAAAATACTACCTTTTAATCAGCAAATGAATATGACTTATATATACAATAGAATACTATTTATCAATTAAAAAGGATGAAGTGCTTTGGGAGGCTGAGGTGGGCAGACAGATTAAGTCCAACAGTTTGAGACCAGCCTGGGCAACACAATGAAAACCCTCTACCAAAAAAGTACAAAAATTAGCTGGGCATGGTGGTGTATGCCTGTAGTCCCTGCTACTTTGGGGGCTGAGGTGGGAGGACTGGTTGAGCCTGGGAGGCGGCGGTTGCAGTGAGCTGAGACTGTGCCTCTGTACCCTAACCTGGATGACAGAGCGAGACCCTGTCTCAACAAAAAAGTGAATTTACATGGAAAATATAAACACCACACTGTTGAGTGAAAAAGTAGTGGCAAAATAATATGAATTAAATGTCTCTCCTGTAAAACAATGGAGCTATACATTGGGAAAATCATTACTTTTGGAGAAGAAAGGAAGGAGAATGGACTGGGATTTACCTTTATGCTTGTTTTCTTTTCTTTTTTTTTTTTTTTTTTGAGACGGAGTTTCGCTCCTGTTACCCAGGCTGGAGTGCAATGGCGCAATCTCGGCTCACCGCAACCTCCGCCTCCTGAGTTCAGGCAATTCTCCTGCCTCAGCCTCCTGAGTGGCTGGGATTATAGGCACGCGCCACCATGCCCAGCTAGTTTTTTGTATTTTTAGTAGAGACGGGGTTTCACCATGTTGACCAGGATGGTCTCGATCTCTTGACCTCATGATCCACCCGCCTTGGCCTCCCAAAGTGCTGGGATTACAGGCTTGAGCCACCGCACCCGGCCGCTTGTTTTCTTTTATTAAAAAAAAAAAAGATTTGAAGTAAATACAGCAAAATGTTAACATCTACTTAATTTGATATTTCCACACATACACCTAAATACCTGGGATTTTAAGATAAGCACACAGAGGAGTTAAAGTGCAGCCTCTGAACACAAGGGGATTGGAAATGGAGCATGATGCATAAAGCTGAGAGCATGGAAGAACTACAGGGTCTATGAACCAGGGACAAAAATATTAAGATCTGCCCACTGGCATTGGGCAGGGGAACAGAACAAAAGCAAGCTAGGCTAAAGGTGGAGTTTTGGAAGAGTATTTAAAAATCAGAATTTCAAGTCCATACATTATAGAGTTATAGGTTCTGAGCTCACCCTATGTATCTGGCACAGGTCTGCGGCAAGTAGTTCATCTAAAAAGTTGTCTACAGTTGGCAAGACCCATGTGGCCTTGGCTGGGGCCAGCATGAAACAGCTCCACAGAGACTACCTGACAATCCAGGGCACACAGACCTCAACTGAAAACAACTTCTCTTGAAAATGAGTTCACAGTTAAAAATTAAAAGCATAGCCTAGGCGAGGTGGCTCATGCCTATCATCTCAGCACTTTGGGAGGCCAAGGTGAGAGTATCACTTGAGCCCAGGAGGCAGAGGCTGCAGTGAGCTGTGATTGTGTCACTGCACTGCCGCGTGGGCGAAAGTGAGACTGTCTCAAAATTAAAAAGACAAACAGGCCTGGCACAGTGACTCACGCCTATAATCCCAGCACTTTGGGAGGCCGAGGTGGGTGAATCACCTGAGGTCAGAAGTTCAAGACCAGCCTGGCCATCATGGTGAAACCCCATCTTTAAAAAAAAGACAAACAAAAAAACCTAAAAGCATATGAGGAAACAAACCACCAGGACAGAGAATCAGCCCAATAAACAAGAGAATCAACACCTTAAAGAGTCTTTCATATACATGTGTTTAAAATATTCAGAGAAGTGGGCTGTGGTGGCCTGCACATGCAATCTCAACTACTCAAGAGTCCAAGGTGAGAGGATCACTTCAGCCCAGGAGTTCAAGGTTGCAGTGAGCTATGATTGCACCACTGCACTCTAGCCTGCACAGTAGGGCAAAACCCCACCTCAAAAAAAAAAGGCTGATAGATTGTACAGCTCTTCCAGCCTGTCAACTTTATGCACCCATGCTTTGTTTGGGTGCCTCATACATTTGAAAAAAATAAGCTTATCAAGCAAAAAATGTTACTGGAGTAAAAATTCAACCGATGGATTTAAATAATTTACACTCACTGTAAGTAGAGAAACAGTAAACTAGAAGAAAGATCTAAGGCACAAAGCAGAACAGAGAAAGGGAGGAAAAATATGAAAGAGAAGTTAAGAAACTGAGGAGACAGAATGATACATTCTAAAATATATCTTACAGAAATCTTAGAAAAAATTGAGACACTAGGAGAAAAGTAATATTATTCTAAAAAGTTTTTTTTTTGCCAGGTGTAGTGGCTCATATCTGTAATCCTAGCACTTTGGGAGGCTGAGGCAAGAGGATCACTTGAGCTCAGGAGTTTGAAACAAGCTAGCCCGGGTGACATAGAGACTCGTCTCTAATTAAAAAAAAAAATTTTTTTTTGAGACAGTGTCTTGCTGCCACCCAGGGATGGAGTGCACTGGCACAAACATGGTTCACTGCAGCCTTAACCTCCTGGGCTCAAGTGATCCTTCCACCTCAACCTCCTGAGTAGCTGAGACTACAGATATGAGCCACCACACCTGGCTAATTTTTTATACTTTTTTGTAGAGATGAGGTCTCATCACGTTGCCCTTTTGAGTATGGTGCAAGATGATGGTCCAATTTCTTTTTCTTAAAAAATCAGCTACTCCTTAATACAATCATGTTCTTATAAACTGAGCTATAAGCTTACTATGAGTGATATATTTTTAAACCTGTTTATGCTATTAATACTCATTAATTTAATAATATAATTACATATTGGTGAAATTGATAGGAAAATAAAATTTAAAAAAATATGTCCAAGATTTTTAAAAGACCTGATAAAAACAAGTTGTTTTTAAATATTTGCCAATAAATTTGGCACATGTCAGCCAATTATACAATATTATTTTTAAAAAATCATAGGCTGGGCATGATGGCACATGCCTGTAATCCCAGCACTTTAGGAGGCGGAGGCAGGTAGATCTCTTGAGCTCAGGAGTTTGTGACCAGCCTGGGCAAGATGGTAAAACCCCATCTATACAAAAAACACGAAAATCAGCTGGACATGGTGGTATGTGACTATAGTCCTAGCTACTCGAGAGGACTGACTGAGCCTGGCAAATTGAGGCTGCAGCGAGCCAAGATCATGCCACTATGCTCCAGCCTGGGCAATGGAGTGAAACCCTGTCTCAAAGAAAACAAAACAAAAAAATTAATAGAACTCTAGGATTTTTTAATCTTGCTTTTTCATGAACACCAATGTTTTCATGTTTGCTGGGACAAATATGAAAACACTGTATGAAAATTTTCTCTAAGATACTGAGCTATTCAAAGGAAACCAAAATTTAAAACAGCAGCTGATGTATTCTGTGCATGGGTTTACATAAGAAAGATAATGTACAACTCTAATCAATAGGTTTAAATTAAAAGAAAAAAGTACTGTGGCTCTACATCAAAAGACTGGTGAATGAATATATATGTTTTAAATTAAAATGTTAAAAACAAGCTGACAAATATTGAATATGATCCAGAGTATTAAAAACATATCAGGCAGGGTGCAGTCGCTCACGCCTGTAATCCCAGCTCTTTAGGAGGCTGAGGCAGGTGGATCACCTGAAATTGGGAGTTCAAGACCAGCCCTATCAACATGAAGAAACCCCACGTCTACTAAAAATACAAAATTAGCCGGATATGATGGCTTGCGCCTGTAATCCCAGTTACTCCAGAGGTTGAGGCAGGAGAATCCCTTGAACTTGGGAAATGGAGGTTGCAGTGAGCCAAGATCCTGCCATTGTACAAGAGCGTAACTCCATCTCAAAAAAAAGAAAAGAAAAACAAAATTTTCTTTCTCTTGGACAAAATCATACTGAATGAAATGGTACTTAATATAATCCAATGTTAAGAATTAAACAGATGAAGAAAACTATCAGAATGTCTAAGATGATGAAATCAACTGTGTACAAAGATAGTTTGGGAAAAATGTTCCTGAAAGGTAACTTTCTCATACTTACCACTTTTTCCCGACTGCTGGATGGTAGTGCCAGGAGTGGCAAAAACATTATCATTGGGCCTCGATTCTGTATCTGTGTTCTCCTCACTGGCGTGATTCATAGGGAAATTACAAGGTTAAAAAAGTTAACATTCAACCTCTGGGAAAAAATTTAACTGCTAAATATCAAGTTTAGACAAACATTCAGTAGTGCTTTATGGTATAGAAGTCCCATGAAACAAATTCTTTTATTTGTTCTAATATATATCCATGGTACAAAAAGGTTAAGGACCACTAAGTTCAGTGTATTAGTTCAACAAAGGAACTTATTGTAGCTCATGGCTTCAAAATCCTAAAGTGGAATTTTACAACCAGTATACATATATAGATTAAAAACTTGCTATTTTTTTTAAAGACTAAAATGATCCTGTCATCTGATTATCACTGTCCTAGCCAATTATGTAGATGTCTGTAAAACAGTTATAAAGAGAATATCACTGAATACAAGACAGTTCAGGATTGATTTTCACTTGTAAGTTTCCAGTTTTGAATTTAAACATAATGACCCATGCTGCCTTTAACATCTTGTGTAAACATTTTTTCTGAGACAGAGTATTGCTCTGTCCCCCCAGCTGGAGTGCAGTGGTGCAATCCTGGCTGATTGCAACCTCCACCTTCCGGGTTCAAGATTTTCTTCCATCTAAGCCTCCCTAGTAGCTGGAACTACAGGAGTGTACCACTGCGCCTGGCTAATTTTTGTATGGTTTCACCATGTTGGCCAGGCTGGTCTCAACTCCTGACTTCAGGTGATCCACCCACCCCGGCTTCCCAAAATGCTGGGATTACAGGCATGAGCCACCCTGGCTGGCCACTGTGTAAACATTTTTCAAAAGTGTGTATACTGACCAGGTACAGAGGCTCAAGCTTGTAATCTCAGAACTTTGGGAGGAACCAAGGCAGGCAGATCATGAGGTCCGGAGTTCAAGACCAACCTGGCTAACATAGTGAAAGCCCATCTCTAGTAAAAATACAAAAATTAACCAGGCATGGTGGTGTGTGCCTGTAGTCCCAGCTACTCTGAGACAAGCAAATCACTTGAACCTGGGAGGCAGAGGTTGTGGTGAGCTGAGATCGAGCCACTGCACTCCAGCCTGGGCAACAGAGTGAGACTTTGTCACACACACAAAAAAAAGTGTGTATACAGTATGGCACATATATTTTTAAAAATCAAAGGGATGGGCATAGTGGCTTATGCCTATAATCATAGCATGTCGCTGGGCCAAAGTGGGAGGATCACTTCAGGCTAGGAGTTGGAGATCAGGCTGCACAACATAGCAAAACCCCATCTCTACAAAAAATATAAAAAAATTAAAACTAGCTGGGCATTGTGATGCATACCTGTAGCCTCAGCTACAAAGGAGGCTGGGGTAGGAGAACCACTTGAACCCAGTTCATGGCTGTGGTGAACATGATCTTGTCACTAGACTCTAGCCTGGGTATTGTTGGGAATGTTTCATGGAAAGAGTTGGTTTTTAAATATCTAAAACCTTTTATCCAGTCATTTTACCTCTAGGAAAACTCAGCAAACATTTTGGCACAGTAGTATTTATTGTAGCTTATTTATAATAGGGGAAAATTGAAAAAAAAACAAAATAAAATAAGACAGTGAGATGCTATCTCTGAAAAAAAAAAAAAAAAAAGGAAAGACTACTAGTACCTGTGTAGTCCTCTATGGAAGCTTCCCAACTTGGTACCTGTCTCTCCCCTACAGAGGCAAATTTCTGTCTAGATTTGGTTGGTAGCTTACTTATTTGCATACTCTTAATATTTTGTTCTTCTGAACTATAAATGAAGTCATAGTGTTTTATATACATATAATTGCACTTTATTTTCCTTGAATTCGTTCATTTAAGTAAAATTTCATAAAGCCTTTTATACACACTGACATTTTCCCCTTAGAAAGATTCACCAATGGCCACCAACATTATAAAAACATTTTCTAGCCAGGCACAGTAGTTCACTGCCTGTAATCCCAGCACTTTGAGAGGCTGAGGCAGGTGGATCACGAGGGCAGGAGTTCAAGACCAGCCTGGCCAAGATAGTGAAACCCCATCTCTACTAAAAATATAAAAATGAGCCAGGCACCTGTAATCCCAGCTACTCGGGAGGCTGAGGCAGAACTTTTTGAACCCGGGAGGCAGAGGTTGCAGTGAGCGGAGATCATGCCACTGCACCCCAGTCTGGGCGACACAGCAAGACTCCATCTCCAGACCAAAAAAAAAAGTATTGTTTTATGTCATTATCAACACTCAATATAACCTGTATTTTTTTGGTATTCACTCTCTTAACAAGTCTAGTTAAAACTTGGCAATAAAAACTTATGTCTGGATAGTTGGAAAATGACATTTCATTTTTCATTTGAATTTCCCTCATTACCTGCAAAGCTAAAAGTATACATATGCTTATTGGTCAACTGTATTTCTTTTTTTTAAGAGATGGAGTCTTGCTCTGTCACCAGGCTGGAGTGCAGTGGCACGACCTGCCGGGTTCAAATGATTCTCCTGCCTCAGCCTCCCAAGTAGCTGGGACTACACGCTCACACCACCATGCCCAGCTGATGTTTGTATTTTTAATAGATACAGGGTTTCACTATGTTGGCCAGGCTGGTCTCAAACTCCTGACTTCAAGTGATCCACCCACCTCGGCCTCCCAAAATGCTGGAATTACAGGTGTGAGCCAGTGCACCTGGCCTCTTCTTTTGTTAATTCATGTCTTTGCCTTTTTTAAAAATTGGGATGTCTTCCACTTTGCATATGGGTTTTTAAAACATATTATGTATATATATGACATATATGCACATGTATTTTTTCATGTTGCAAAACTTCTCCTGCTTTGTCATTGGTCAACTATTTTATGATACAGTGGTTTAAATTTTGTATGTAATCAAATCTATCCATATTCTTCAGTATGATTTCTGACTTCAGTGTTACACCATAATTTAAATACTTTCTACTGTAGATATTTTGGTTCTTTCCAATTTTCCCCATTTAAAATAAGGCTGTAATAAATACTACTGTGCCAAAATGTTTGTCAAGTTTTCCTAAAGGTAAAATGACTAGGTAAAAGATTTTAAACATTTAAGAATCAACTCTTTCCATGAAACATTCCCAACAATGATACATGAATACGCATTTCACTTTACTCTTCTAACAGTTAAAACAAATATGCTTTGTACTTTTTTAATAGACAAAACTGTTTTTAAAATAATTATTAGTCATGTCAATTCCTGTTCATTGCCTAGGTTTGTGGTTTCTTATCAGTATGTGTATAATGGCCCTCAATGCAACTATTTTCTTGGTTTAGTTTTTACCCTTTATATGTTTCATGTTCCATTCTATTTATTTTATCTTTTTAGAGGTGGAATCTAGCTATGTTGCTCAGGAAACTCCTGAGCTCATGTGAATCTCCCACCTCAGCCTCCCAAGCAGATGGGACTAAGGCACAAACCACTGTGCCTGACTCATGTACCCATCCATATTTCTGAATAAACATATTGTTAAGCTGTCTAATCATGTCAATTAATTTGCAAATTTCTTGTAATTACAAACATATTGGTAGTTGCAGTATACTCTTTCACTATTTAAACGGATTTGTCGATATTTTCTTTTACTTTGTAAATGATTTAACTAAATATTTTTTTGATCCATCTATATTTTATGTTGACTTGAGGTAGAGACTACTTGATTTTTTTCCAAACAGTTAACTGTTCCTGTATAATTTACTGAATCACCTTTACTTCAAAAACAGCTTCAGGATCACTTGAAGCCAGGACTTAGAGACTAGCATGGGCAACATAGTGAGACCGTGTCTCTACAGAAAATTTTTTTAAAAATTAAGCAGGCATGGTGGTGTACATCTGCAGTCCCACCTACTTGGGAAGCTGAGGTAGGAGGACTGATTGAGTCCAGGAAGTCGAAGCTGCAGTGAGCTATGACCATGCCTCTGCACTCCAACCTGGGTGACAGACTGAGAACCTGTCTCTAAAAATAAATTTATAAAGAAATAGTTGCCTTATGCAACTACATAAAATACATATCTTCTATCAGCCTCTTTCTTGAATTTTAATACTTCTACAACTTTTTCATGTGATTTTCTTGAGTTGCTTTGGTACAAAATGGCTAGAAGTGCAACACAGAAATACTTATTTCCTATCTCATTACACTGGCCAGAGCATCAAGAATGATGTTAGGCCGGGTGCTCACACCTGTAATCCCAGCACTCTGGGAGGCTGAGGTGGGTGGATCACAAGGTCAAGAGATCAAGACCATCTTGACCAACATGGTCAAACCCCATCTCTACTAAAAATACAAAAATTAGCTGGGCATGGTGGCACATGCTGCAGTAAGCCGAGATCGTTCTGCTGTACTCCAGCCCAAAAAAAGAAAAAAAATCTTTTGGATTAAAATTTTATCTTTACTGTTTCTTTTCCCCAAAGTAGTGGGGTTTTTTTTCTGACTCTGACATGAATGTTTATTTTCCTTCATTAGTAGTAACAGTATTTAATAAGTATTTATCTTTAGATATTGCTTGGCTACTTTGGTAAGTGGTATTTTCATTGTAACATTGTAACTTTATTTTTTGAGACCAAGTCTCACTCTGCTGCCCAGCCTGGAGTGCTCTATCTCCGCTTACTGCAACCTCTGCCTCTCAGGTTCAAGCGATTCTGCTGCCTTAGCCTACTGAATAGCTGGGACTATAGGCGCCTGCCACCAGGCCTGGCTAATTTTTGCATTTTTAGTAGAGACAAGGTTTCACCATATTGGCCAGGCTGGTCTCGAACTCCTGAGCTTGTGATCTGCCGGCCTCGGCCTCCAAGTGTTGGGATTACAGGTGTGAGCCACCGCGCCCACCCCATTGTAACTCTTATGGTTTTAATTACCATTTCCATGCTAATGACTCCCAAATCTACTCTAGCACTTAATCCTTCACTGAACTTTAAACCGATTAAAATGCCTAAGCATGAAGAGGCACTAACAATGTCAAAATCAACATGTAAACGCATCACCTATCTCCCCACACTCCAGGTATTCTGTTCTCCCTAACATCATCCCAAGCAACAAAACAGAAACTTGGGGTTTATCCTAGATCATCCTCTTTCCCAAGTCTCTCCATGGCAAATCAATCACAAGTTCTTACTAATTTTATCCCTTTAATTTTATCCCCTATTCTCTATCCCTACAAATACCATCTTTTTTTCTTTTTCAATAGATGTTCAATCATAGCCGCTAACTCCATAATGACTTAATACGGTGAGGGTGTGACCATCCATCTGGCCTCCTGCATCTCCCATTTTAATGCATCTCTGTGCTGCCATATGTAAGAGTGGCAATGAGATGCTTGATCCTGGTATTACGTCGGGGGCATTGAACCCTGTAAATGTAGACTGGTTCTTTTGATCCAGTAATTAGCCTCAGTAGCAAGGTTCAGAAAACATTCACGGAAGGATTTTCAACATTATAGGGTAACACAGTGCTCCAGCAAGCTTGAATAGATCTCCCATTTTGTTTTTTTGTGCTGGTAATTCTTTTCTCAATCTCTACTATATCTGAAAGAACTGAGGGTATCACGGGTGTTACATCCATGCACTGCTCCAGATAAGCTTGTATTGTGAAGACTATAGTCATCCGAGCTCCAGTGGCAACAAGCTTAACTTGGTCTAATAGCTCTTTCCCCGGTGACTCAAATTTTTTGAATAGAAACGCAAAGACAAGCTCTCCAACCCAGAATTGGCTGTTGATCCAATCTATCGTAGGTCCAGCATTATGAGCAACCAGCAGATTTGCACCTTCACCATCAGCTGCTCTGCCAAGTGCCGCCATCATCCCATGGAATCGCTTCTGGATCTGAATGCTGTTGGATCGGACCTTGTCACTAGGCCCGATTACCATCCCTATTAGCAAATCACAGTAGTGAGGAAGTATTGATGCCATTTCCATTCTTGTAACTTTGTCCTGGTCCGTCAATGATTTCTTGAAAAGCAAAGGTGTCAATGACTGCTTTCCCTCCACAGTTATTGCACTTCTCTCATTCACACCAACTTATTTTAGTGCTTTGTGTAACCCATCAAAAAGATAGCATAAGAAGACCAAACTTGGTATGACTGGATGGAAGTTTTGGTGGAATCCTGGATCTAGCAGTGACTTGATATTATTCTCAATGTCATCCTTCCTTCCATCCCGGGACAGGGGTCAGCTGAATCAGAAGGGAACTGTCTAACTTTCCCACTTAAATGAGAAGAGAATCTCTGGCTAGTTACATCCACCGGGACTTGTTGACTGCTCACGGTAATCAATTTGGTGAGTTATGTTCCATACCATCTTTTTTTAGGCCCTTATCACTCCTTCTTTAGTCTCTCACCTGAAGAAACCAACAGCTCACACTTTACTGATAGTATTGGTGATTCAAGGTTTGTAATATAAAGTACCTGAAAATGTCACCACTAAAGAACTTACTGATGTAACCAAACACCACCTGTTCCCCTAAAACCTAATGAAATAAAATAAGTAAGTGTCTGAAAACTTTTTAAAGGAAAAACGTTGTCTAAAACACATTTCTTCTGGAAAAAAGACCAATACAAAAGATTTAGAACACTAGATAAAATCTGCCTTTTAACAGAGCTGCTTACCTTTTATTATTCCTCACATTTTTAAGTCCCATTGTGTAATCTTCATTTAAACAAATAGTATATTCAGAGATACCAAAGTGTTCTAATTTAGGAGTTACACATTCAAAATCATCCATTTTTAGTGCACATTTTGGAGTTTTTAGTACTTTTACTAGTGACTGTTTGGTAGGTGGAGTTAAAATTACGGGCTCTTCCTTATAGTTGTTCACTGACTGTGGAAGGTTTGGTAGAACTTGGGATACCATGTACCGCTCAAGTCCAAAATCTGAAAGTTGTGGACTACGTGGAGACTTCTCAGAAATACAACTGCTTGCCACAGGAGGATCAGAGAGATCATTGTTCACATCAGCCTTCTGAAAATTTTCATAATTAGATAACTCTGGGTCAGAGTTAATGGCTTCTTGTTCGTGCACTAGGAGCAAAAATCAGAATATTCTGGTCAAACACCAAAATAGAAAATTTCATGTTTACAAAAACAACAGAAAATAGCTTATCTGAAATTTCCCAAATGAACCAAAGTTCCGCCACCCAGGCTGAAGTACAAAGGTATGATCACAGCTCCTGGCATGTAGGCTGGAGTGCAGTAGTGTGATAGTAGCTCACTGCAGCCTTGAACTCCTGGGCTTAAGGTATCCTTTCTGTCTCAGCTTCCAAAATAGCTAGGACTCCAAGTGTACACCACCACACCCAATTAATTTTGTAAAAAAAAACATTTATACAGACAGAGTCTCATTATGCAGCCCAGGCTGGTCTCAAACTCCTGGCCTCAAGTGATCCTCCTGTCTCACTGTCCCACAATGCTCAGATAACAGGCACGAGCCACTGTGCCCGTCTCACGTGGGCTGTTTAACTTACCTGCCACATGCATCTTCAATATATATTTGTTCAATTTATTTTCTTTTAATTTTTGTTTTATAAGATGGGGTTTCACCATGATGGTCAGTCTGGTCTTGAACTCCTGACCTCAGGTGATCCACCCACCTCGGCCTCCCAAAGTGCTAGGATTACAGGCGTGAGCTACCGCACCCAGCTTAAACTTTTTTTTAAGACAGAATCTCACTCCATTGCCCAGGCTAGAGTGCAACAGCACCATCTCAGCTCACTGCCTCTGCCTCCTGGGTTCAAGCAGCTCTCCTGCCTCAGCCTCCTGAATAGCTGGGATTATAGGCATGCACCACCACACCCAGCTAATTTTTGTATAAGTAGATACGGGTTTCACCATGTTGGTCAGGCTGGTCTTGAACTCCTGACCTCATGATCCACCCACCTCGGCCTCCCAAAGTGCTGGGATTACAGGTTTTTTTTTTTTTTTTTTTTTTTTGAGATGAAGTCTTGCTCTGTCACCCAGGCTAGAGTGCAGTGGCACCATCTCAGCTCACTGCAACCTCCACCTTTTGGGTTTAGTTGTTTCTCCTGCCTCAGCCTCCAGAGTAGCTGGGACTACAGGTGCGTGCCACCATGCCCGGCTAATTTTTTGTATTTTTTTGGTAGAGATGAGGTTTCACCATGTTAGCCAGGATGGTCTTGATCTCCTGACCTCGTGATCATCCCATCTCAGCTTCCCAAAGTGCTGGAATTACAGGTGTGAGCCACAGTGCCTGGCCTCACTTGTTCAATTTAATAAAAGAAATAAAGACACTGAAGTTAGTCATTCAGAGGTATGAGCATAATAACAACTGTTAATAGTTAATCTTGGTTGACTGATACGCTAGAAACTGCTCTAAGCAAACTTTATCTTATTTAATCCCTATACAATCTCATGAGATAGATATAAGAAACATTCCCACTTTACAGATGAGAAACTGAGGCACAAGGTTAACTAACTTGACAAAGACATAGCTTGACAATAATACAGCTATTAAGTGGTGGAATACAGATTTGAACTCAGGCATTTTGGCTCCAAATTCTAAACCACTATGATAGACTTCAACAAAATTTTAGAAACAAAAAAAGACTTCATCAAATTTTATAGCCAGTATCTTTCTAAGGGAGAGAACATTGTGAACAAGAAAAATGAAATAACATGCCTCGAGGTCTCTGAGCTTTTATTGGCAGAGCTAAGTAGAAACCACCTATCCTAAGTCATGAAGATTTATCTTGTACTTTTTCATTTAAATAGGCCAAAGAACTTTCACCTAGCATTGTGCTAGTTTTCATTTTGCATTTTGGAAGGGAGAGCAAGGACTGTCTCTACACTGCACCCCTGATTAGCACTGCACCCAGCACACCACACAGTGAGAGCTGAACAAACATTTATCAAGTAAGTGTCAGATAACAACAGAGCTAGAGCTAAAACCACGGCCAAGCTTACAGTTGTCTTAGTTAATCATGCTGCCTTGTTTCTTCAATACTAAAACAAATGCTATAAAATGAAGTTATTCAAACCTGAATTTTTCTTGACACGTGGACTATATCCATACTTCTGGAAATACTCCCTTATTTTCATAATATCCATTGAATTTTTTTCCATTAGTACTTTTGTTGCCTTCATGAAATCAATGCTTTCTTGACTTTCCAATCTTGCTTCATTAAGAAGAATATTAACATCATCCTTTTATGAATAAAGAAAGTACATTATAATTTCTGTAACTTCTGACTAAATCTATTTAGGATAAAAAAATTACTTGCCTGAGAAAAATGATAATATTGTAGGAGTGATACCTTTAGAGTCTGAACTTCTGAATGAAGGTCATATAAAATTCTCATGGGATAATCTTCAAAGTCTTCAATATCAATATTGAAAGAAGAAAGTCCAATAAATGTAAGGAAAAGGAGGAAGAAAAAGAATACTTAGTATACAATCATGTACCTCATAATGACATTTTGGTCAATGGCAAATCACATATATAACAGTGGTACCATAAGATAATACCGTATTTTTTACTGTACTTTTTGTATGTTCAGATACTTACCATAAGGTTACAGTATTCAACACAGTCGCATGCTATACAGGTTTGTAGCCTAGGAGCAATAGGCTATACCATATAGCCTAGGTATGTAGTAGGTCATATAATCTACATTTGTGTTACATATGCTCTATGATGTTCATACAATAACAAAATTTCCTAACGTTGCTCAGAACACATCCCAATTAAGTAACATGACTGTATAACATATATACTGAAAAGCATATAAATCCTAGCTTAATGAACTTTATTTATTTATTTATGGGTTTTTTTTTTTTTTTTTTTTTTTTTTTGAGACAGAGTTTTGCTCTTGTTACCCAGGCTGGAGTGCAATGGCGTGATCTCGGCTCACCGCAACCTCCGCCTCCTGGGTTCAGGCAATTCCCCTGACTCAGCCTCCCGAGTAGCTGGGATTACAGGCGTGCGCCACCATGCCCAGCTAATTTTTTATATTTTTAGTAGAGACGGGGTTTCACCATGTTGACCAGGATGGTCCCGATCTCTTGACCTCGTGATCCACCCATCTCGGCCTCCCAAAGTGCTGGGATTACAGGCTTGAGCCACTGCACCCGGCCCCTTAATGAACTTTATAAAACGGCTATACCTGCATAACCGGCCCTCAGCTAAAGAAATAGAGCCTTATTTGAACTCTAGAAGCCCTCTTAGAGTCTCTCCCTTCCCACTAAGGGTAACCCTTACCCTGATTTTTCTTTTCTTTTTTTATTTTTTTGAGATGGAGTTTCGCTCTTGTTGCCCAGGCTAGAGTGCAATGGCGTAAACTCTGCTCACGGCAACCTCCGCCTACCAGGTTCAGGGGATTCTCCTGCCTCAGCCTCCCAAGTAGCTGGGACTACCCCACCACCAGGTCTGGCTAATTTTTGCATTTTTAGTAGAGACAGGGTTTCACCATATGGGCCAGGCTGGTCTCAAACTCCTGACCTCATGATCCGCCTACCTTGGCCTCCCAAAGTGCTGAGAGTAGAGGTGGGAGCTAGTGCAACCAGCCACTTCACCCTGATTTTTAACACCATGAAGTAGTTTTGCCACTTAGGAACTTGATTTAATGGACTCTAATATGTATTCTTTTGTGATTGGCTTCTTTCACTCAGCTCTGTTTGTTACATTCTTCCAAGTTCATACATAATCTAATCCATCCCTGTTCGTTACTGTATAGTATTTCCACTGCATGATATCAAATTTATTTATCTATTCTATTGTTGAAACACTTTGGATTGTGCCAAGTTTGGAACTATTATGAATACTCTTGCTTTGAACTTTCTAGAGCATGTCTTGGTACCAATGTATTCATATTTCTGTATGTTAGAGACCTAGAAAAAGTGCTGGATTACATGTTATACATATGTTCAACTCCAGTAAATACTGCTAGTTTTCCAACATGACTGTTACAGTTTGCACTCTAACCAGCAGTGCATAAGAAGTGCAATTGTTACACATCTTTGCAAACATTTGGTAATTTTCTCTTTTTCATTTTAGCTATCCTGGTGGGTATGCAACTGTACTACATTGGAAGTTAATTTGCATTTCCTTGATAACTAATGAAACTGATGTATTTTCACATTCCTAATGGCCATCTGAAGATAACTTTTTTTTTTCTGAAATGGAGTCTCACTCTGTTGCCTGGGCTAGAGTGTAGTGGCATGATCTTGGTCACTGCAACCTCTACCTCCAGGGTTCAAGCGATTCTCCTGCGTCAGCCTCTGAGTAGCTGAGATTACAGGCACCCAGTACTACACCCAGCTAATTTTTTTTTTGTATTTTTAGTGGATAAGAGGTTTCACCATGTTGGCCAGGCTGGTCTTGAACTCCTGACCTCAGGTGATCCACCTGCCTTGGCCTCCCAAAGTGCTTGGGATTACAGGTGTGAGCCACCGTGCCCGGCCAAATCTTTTAATTTTAATGCAGTCCTACTTATCCATTTCTTTCCCTTATGACAAGCACTTTTTGGTTTCTATTTTTTAAATCTTTGCCAATGACAAGATACATATCTCTCTCATGTTTTCTTAAAAAGCTTTATGGTTTTAACTTTTGCATTTGGAGCTATACCCATCTGGAATTTATTTCTGTATATGGCATGTGGTAAGAATCAAGATCCACTCTTATGTTCCATATTCAATTATTCAATTGACCTGGCACAACTTACCAAAAGGCATCCTTTACCCACTGCATGTCACCTTTGTTATTAACCAGTTAGTGTTACATATGATGTAAAAGTAGGTTTTCTTTGTTTTAATTTTTTTGACAGGGTCTCACTCTGCCACCCAGGCTAGGTACAATCACGGCTCACTGCAGCCTTGACTTCCTGGACTCAAGCAATCCTACCATCTCAGACTCCCACGTAGCTGGGGACTACAGGCATACAACCACCACACCCAGCTAATTTAAAAGTAGTAGAGTTATTTTCTGTTTCTTTTTTGAAACAGAGTGTCACTCTGTCGGCCAGGATGGAATGCAGCAATCTCAGCTCACTGCAACCACAGCCTCTTAGGTTCAAGTGATTCTCCTGCCTCAGCACCCCTACCCCCACCCCCAGTAGCTGGGATTACAGGTGTGCACCACCACACCCAGCTAATTTTTGAGATGAGATTTCACCATGTTGGCCAGGCTGGTCTCAAACTTCCCGCCTTAAGGGATTTGCCCACCTCAGCCCTGAAAAGTGCTGGGATTACAGGTGTGAGCCACCACACCTGGCCTAAAAGCAGTTTTTTAAAAGGATTATATTTCTCTTTTGTAAAACACATCTCCTTTGAAGATCTCCTTCTCCTTCCACCTGTTAAATGTGACCAATTTTTATTAGGGAAATGCAAATCAAAACTACGATGAGATTCTACTTCATGCCTACTAGAATAACTACATCAAAAAAGACAGATAATAATAAACGTTGGTGAGGATGTGGAGAAACTGCAACCCTTATTCACTGTTAGTGCAAATGTAAAACGGTGCAGACACTCTGGAAAACAATTGGGCAGGTCCTCAAAAAGTTAAACCATATGACCTAGCAACTCCACCTCTAGTACATGCCCAAGAGAATTAAAAACACATTCACACAAAAACTTACACATGAATATTTACAGCAGCATTATTCATAATAGCCAAAAAGTAGAAACAACTCAAAATGTCTATCAGCTAGTGAATAACAAAAACATAGTAGAACCGTACAATAGAATATACTCAGCAATAAAATGTTATAACATGGAGGAACATTGAAACATTACACTAAGTGAAATAAGTTAGTCACAAGACTACAAATTCTACAATTCCACTTATATGACATGTCCAGAATAGGCAAATCTATAGAGCTAGAAAGTAGATTCATGATTGCCTAAGGCTGGTGTGGTTGGTGGGGCTAAAGGGAGTGACTGTTAAGGGGGCACAGGGATTTCTTTTAGGCGTAATGAAAATCTAAACTTTTTGTCATGATAGTTGCACAACTGTGAGTATCTTAACAACCACTTAATTGTATCCTTTAAACGGTGAGTTTTATGGCAACTGAATTATATCGCAAAGATATTTAGAATGCAGCCAATTTAATGATTCATCATTATGATCATAAAAGCCAAGATTGTTTGTGACTATTTTCTCTTATTACAATTCCATATTTTCTATAATGCATACGGGACAGGAATTGAAGAATTATTCCAGCTTTTCCTTGTAAACACAGAAGAAAATGAAGAGATTATGCAAAGTCACTATGTCTACAGGAAAACAAATTAGTACAAGCTTTATGGAAAGCAACTGAGAGCATATATATATCTCTCTCTCTCCAGGCTGGACCCTGTGGCTCACACCAGTAATCTCAGCGCTTTGGGAGGCTGGGAGGATCATTTGAGGTCAGGAGTTCAAGACCAGCCTGGCCAACACGGTGAGACTCCCATCTCTACTAAAAACACAAAAATTAGCTGGGCATCGTGGCGTGTGCTTGTATTCCTAGCCACTTGGGAGCCTGAGGCAGGAGAATCACTTGAACCCGGGAGGTAGAGGTTGCGGGAGCCAAGATCGCACCACTGTACTCCAGCCTGAGTGACACAGTTAGACTCAGTCTCAAAAACAAAAAAAAAAAAGAAAAAGCATCCAAAAATGTTAAAGCAATTTTGTGTCCATTATAGTACTATCACAAAAACAAAGAAAAACAAAAAAAGCCCTAAAATAAGAATGGTAGAAAAGCTACTAAAATATTATTAGTGGTGTCTTCTGACCCATGGATACAAAATAATTATTTTTGTCTTTCTATTTTTCCATAGCTCAAACTTCCTACAAGGCATATATGTTGATTTTACAGTCACAGAAATAGACATTTTCAAGTGGCTGGAGATCACTCATTATATAATTAAAGTAAAAGTAGTCTGCAGGGTGTAATATTCTAAAGCACATCACAATTATGATATTTATGAAATAATTCTAAAATCTGAACTACTTTTTCAGCAATTTAAAAAACCTCTAATAAAAAGGTGAATGGTGGCCGGGAGCGGTGGCTCACACCTGTAATCCCAACACTTTGGGAGGCCGAGGCGGGTGGATCACCTGAGGTCAGGAGTTCAAGACCAGCCTCGCCATAGAGACATGGAGAAACCCGTCTCTACTAAAAATAAACATTAGCTGGGCGTGTTGGTGCATGTCTGTAATACCAGCTGTTTGGGAGGCTGAGGCAAGATAATCGCTTGAACCCAGGAGGCGGAGGTCGCAGTGAGCCGAGATTGCACCATTCCACTCCAGCCTGGGCAAGAAGAGCGAAACTCCACCACCTCAAAAAAAAAAAAAAAAAAAAAAAGTGAATGGCAAATTTTGCTTTATTTATATACACGTATTTTTTTTAACCCCAGCACTGTTGGGTACTAGTGTTAATGCCGCTAATATGGTTTAGTGGGAAAAACAGACTTTACTGCAACTGTGGACCACGTGGGTGAGAAAAAAAGTCACTATATGAGTAAAGTATCGTGTAAAGAACAACATCAAATGGCTGGATTCTAAGGGAAATTGTTCAGGTTTACATGGTATTTTATTTTATTTATTAATTTATTTATTTTGAGACGGAGTTTCGCTCTTGTTGCCCAGGCTGGAGTGCAATGGCGCTATCTCGGCTCACCGCAACCTCCGCCTCCTGGGTTCAGGCAATTCTCCTGCCTCAGCCTCCTGAGTAGCTGGGATTACAGGCACGCGCCACCATGCCCAGCTAATTTTTTGTATTTTTAGTAGAGACGGGGTTTCACCATGTTGACCAGGATGGTCTCGATCTCTTGACTTCGTGATCCACCCACCTCAGCCTCCCAAAGTGCTGGGATTACAGGCGTGAGCCACCGCGCCCGGCCTCTACATGGTATTTTATTGACAAGCACACATATTGTATGTGACGAAAGCGTATCTGGTATAAATTAGCATATATATTATGCACTCAATCCGTCAACTTAGGTTCCTATTCTTAAGTCCTGCTGTCTCTCTTCACAACATAATAGTGTTACTTTCTTTCTTTCTTTTTTTTTTTTTTTTTGAGACGGAGTTTTGCTCTCGTTACCCAGGCTGGAGTGCAATGGCGCCATCTCGGCTCACCGCAACCTCCGCCTCCTGGGTTCAGGCAATTCTCCTGCCTCAGCCTCCTGAGTAGCTGGGATTACAGGCACGCGCCACCATGCCCAGCTAATTTTTTTTTTTTTTTTGTATTTTTAGTAGAGACGGGGTTTCACCTTGTTGACCAGGATGGTCTCGATCTTTTGACCTCGTGATCCGCCCGCCTCGGCCTCCCAAAGTGCTGGGATTACAGGCGTGAGCCACCGCGCCAAGCAATAGTGTTACTTTCATCTCAGGATAGCCTTGGGGTTGGACACAGGACTAAAACGAACAAGAGATCCTAGGAATAAACCAGAAACAGGACCCGGAGCTATGCTAACGCCAAACGCCGAGCGTTGAAACGCGCAGCACCCGCCCCACGCCTCGGTGGCAGCGGTCCACGCCGTCAGTGTCAGCCGGTTTCCGTGGGGCACACCCTCCCCACTTGCCTCGCCCCTCCGTCCGCGGCGCACCCCACACACCGACCCCATGCCGCCCGCCTCACACACCGCTTTCCTCTCCGTCCAGAGCTCGCTGTAGCCGGGCTGTCTCGCAGTCCAGCGTGCTGGCCAGAGACCGCAGTTTCCCGCAGAAGTTCCGGATCGGATCCATGATGAGCACAGCGGGGAAGGACTCCAGACGTACCGGGACGCCACCGCTCACCTCACAGCCTCCCGCCACTGGTTTGAATGTCTCGGCGCCGGACGCGTCCTCGGTTCTGCGCAGGCGTAGTCCTCTCTCGCGATAGCTGAAATCTCGCCTAGGTGCCAGGAGACCGCGCGTGACGGGTACGCTTTCACCACTGCCGCCGGCCGCGGAGTGGCGGATTCCGGAGCTACCCGGCTGGTGAGTACCTGAGCTTATTCGGTGCTCTGGGACCCTCCTTCGTCACCTGGCGGCCTTAGCTGGGCTCTCCCCTTCTCTTGAGGGGAGGCGGTGCGGGAACTCCGTAGGCGTGAGCCGGAGCGCGCGCCCGCTGCTCTGCCCTGTCCCGGCAGCGCAGTTCGCGTCCGTAAAGCCCGTCCCTCTCCACCGCAGGCACCATGTTCCTGACTGCGCTTCTCTGCCACAGCCGCATTCCCGGCCGTCAGTGGATCGGGAAGCACCGGCGGCCGCGGTTCGTGTCGTCGCGCGCCAAACAGAACATGATCCGCCGCCTGGAGATCGAAGCGGAGAACCACTACTGGCTGAGCATGCCCTACATGACCCGGGAGCAGGAGCACGGCCACGCCGCGGTGCGCAGGAAGGAGGCCTTCGAGGCCTTAAAGGCGGCCGCCACTTCCAAGTTCCCCCCACATAGATTCATTGTGGACCAGCTCGACCATCTCAATGTCACCAAGAAATGGTCCTAACTCAGCCGTCACCCTTGGATTTTATGGAGCACGGGGCTGCCCATCTTAACCTGTTCCTGGAACTGAAAAACTGTAGCTTCTGTGAAAATGTGAGCCTTTGGACCAGTCTTTATTAAAACAAACAAACATGAGTAGTCTGCATATGGACTATCTGGGGCTCTAAACCCCCCAGTACTTAGAAGTCTAATCGCTGTCCTGTCGTTTCTTTAGACTGATAGGACAATAGGGATTTCCGCAGTCACAGATGATGTTTTGAAGGAGAGCTGCAATAAAGCCGCAGGCTGTGGTTTGAGGTCTTGGCTGAAGTCTGAGACACTTGAGGGGCCTTTGTCATGCAACACTAGTTTGCTTACCTACTGTCAAGAAGTGCCCAAAAGTAAAAGGAAATAGGAGTTTTTTAGTTAAACATAATCCTAAAAACAACATTCTCTTCTGGGAGTTTTACTACTAAAAGTGGACATATGAGTGAAGTAAGAGGCCAGGTGTGGTGGCTCATATCTAATCCCAGCACTTTGGGAGGCCAAGGTGGGCGGATCACTTGAGGTCAGGAGTTCAAGACCAGACTGGTCAACATGGTAAAACCCCTTCTCTGCTAATACAAAAAAAAAAAAATTAGCTGGGCTTGGTGGTATAGGCTTGTAATCCCAGCTACTTGGGAGGTTGAGGTGGGAGGATCGCCTGAACCCCAGAGGCAGAGGTTGCAGTGAGCTGAGATCACGCCACTGCACTCCAGCCTGAGAGACTCCATCTCAAAAAAGAAAAATTAGACAAGGTAAAAGATATTGATCAGAACTGTTACAGGATGTATTTTTTATTGTACTTTAGGTTCTGGGGTACATGTGCAGATCATGCAGGAATGTTGCTTAGGTACATACATGGCAAGGTGATTTGCTCCCTCCATTACCCCCACCCTGTCACCTATATCTGGCATTTCTCCCCATGTTACACCTCCCCCACTGTACCTCCCCTAGCCCCTACAGGATGTATTTTTTAGCTTTTTTGGCAGGGTGCTGTGGTGTCTGCATGTAGTCCCAGATATTCTAGAAGATTGCTTGAGTCCAGCTTGGGCAGCATAGCTTGCCCCTGCCTCTGAAATAATAGTAATATATGGCTGGGTGGGGTGGCTTACACCTGTAATCCCAGCACTTTGGGAGGCCGGGAGTTCAAGACCCTCCCAGCCAACATGGTAAAACCCCTTCTCTACTAAAAAATACAAAATTAGCTGGGCATGGTGGCAAGTGCCTGTAATCCCTGCTACTCAGGAGGGTGAGGCAGGAGGTTGCTTGAACCCAGGAGGTGGAGGCTGCAGTGAGCCAAGTTTGTGCCACTGCACTCGAGCCTGGTGACAGGGAGACTCTATCTCAAAAAGAAAATTTAATTTAGGTGTGGAAAAAAATCAGAACTGCCTCTATGGGAACAACAATAAAGGAGAAACCAGGATTGACTGGGAAGAGACACAAAGAACTTTGTCAAAATTGTAAGGCTGAGGCCCATACCGTGGCTCATGCCTAAAATCCTGTCACTTTGGGAGGCTGAGGCGGATGGATCATCTGAGGTTAGGAGTTTGAGACCAGCCTGGCCAGCATGGCAAAACCCCATTTCTACTAAAAATACAAAACTTAGCCAGGCATGGTGGCACACACCTGTAATCCCAGCTACTTGGGAGGCTGAGGCACGAGAATCGCTTGAACCCGGGAGGCAGAGGTTGCAGTGAGCCGAGATTACACCACTGCACACCAGCCTGGGTGACAGACTGAGATCCTGTCTCAAAAAAGAAAAATTATAGCCAGGCACAATGGCTCACACCTGTAATCCCAGCACTTTGGGAGGCTGAGGCAGGTGGATCACCTGAGGTCAGGAGTTCGAGACCAGCCTGGCTAACATGGTGAAACCCCATCTCTACTAAAAATACAAAAATTAGCTGGGCACAGTGGCTCACGCCTTTAATCCCAGCACTCTGTGGGGGCAAGGTGAGCAGATCACAAGGTCAGCAGTTGGAGACCAGCCTGGCCAATATGGTGAAACCCTATCTGTACTAAAAATACAAAAATTAGCTGGGTGTGGTGGCATATGCCTATAGTCCCAGTTACTCAGGAGGCTAAGGCAGAAGAATTGCTTGAACCCAGGAGGGGGAGGTTGCAGTGAGCCAAGACTGGGCTACTGCACTCAAGCCTTTGCAATGGGAGCGAGACTCCATCTCAAAAAAAGTAAAAAGATATATATATATATATAGTACAAATAGTTTTTTGAAAATAATTTAATATGCCATATGATTTGCCAGTTGAAGATGTTCACTTTCTGAATATAATAAAAATAGTCAAATACTTTGTGTTACTGAATAATACTATATATAGCAGTATAATACAGTACCCTGTACAATATCCATTTGGTAACACAGTATACAGCTCTCTATATGGTTGAGACTATTTTATATTTGAGGAAACACTTAAGGAACAGCTGTAACTCAAAGTTACAGCCAGTGATGAGACGGACTTACGATTGAATTGCTATATAATACAGAAAACTTGTATGAGTATGGTCAGCAATAATATATTGTACATTTTAAAATAGCTAAAAGATGGCCTGGCACACTGGCTAATGCCTGCAATCCCAACACTTTGGGAAGCCCAGGCAGGCAGATCACTTGAAGCAGAGGAATTGGAGACCAGCTTGGGCAACATAGTGAGACTCTTTACAAAAAATAAAAAAATTAGCCAGGCCCGTGGTGTGCACCTGCAGCCCCAGCTGCTTGGGAGACTAAGGCAGAAGAATGGCTTGAGCTGGGGAGGTTGAGGCTGCAGTGAGCTGTGGTCGTGCCACGACACTCCAGCCTGGGCCGTAGAGGAAGACCCTATCTCAAGAAGAAAAAAACAAATAGCTAAAAGAATATAATTAGATTGTTTGTAACACAAAGAAAGGATAAATGCTTGCAGTGTTGGACAACCCCCCCCCAAAGAAATCTTGTTGAGTGTTATACATACATTTAGTAGAAGTTTGCAAAACATATAGAAGAAAAATGATTGAATCCCATTATTTACTATTTCCCATTAATGAGATAATCTTCATTTTTTTTCTTAGTCTCCTTAATACATATGCTTTTTGAAAATATATTGAGGTATTGAGCCCAGAAGCTTGAGGCTGCAGTGACCTATGATTATGCCACTACATTCCAGACTGGGCAACAAAACAATAACTTAATTTTTTTTTTTTCTTTTTTCCTGTGTGTGGTGGCTGAGCCTGAAATCCCAGCACTTTGGGAGGCCGAGGCGGGTGGATCACGAGGTCAACAGATCGAGACCATCCCGGTCAACATGGTGAAACCCCGTCTCTACTAAAAATACAAAAAATTATCTGGGCATGGTGGCACGTGCCTGTAATCCCAGCTACTCAGGAGGCTGAAGCAGGAGAATTGCCTGAACCCAGCAGGCGGAGGCTGTTGTGAGCCGAGATCATGCCATTGCGCTCCAGCCTGGGTAACAAGATCGAAACTCCGTCTCAAAAAAAAAAAAACTTCAAGACTAATGTGTGAGAATGGCAGTCTCATTTGCCAGCATTAAATGCTTTCCCTCATTAACCAAAATTACTATATTTTGTTAGATGATTCACTTAAAAAATTTTTTTTAATTTTAATTTTTTTTCTTTTCTCTTTTTTAACCATCAAGTAAATGAAGTGAACTTTCTTTTTTTTTTTTTTTTTTTTTGAGACAGGGTCTTCCTTTGTTGCCCAGGATGGATTGCTGTGTGTGGTATGATCTTGCCTCACTGCAGCCTCGACCTCCGAGCTCAATTGATTTTTGTATTTTTTTGCAGAGACAAGGTTTCATCATGTTGCCCAGACTGGTCTTAAATACCTGGGCTCAAGCCATCTGCCTGCCTTGGCCTCCCCAAGTGCTGAGATTACAGACATGAGCCACCATGCCCAGCTCTCATTCACATTTTAATATCTGCAATTTGTATAGGCTATGGGAAAGATTTTTTTTTCTTTTTTTTAAGATAGACTCTCTTTCTCTTGCCCAGGCTGGAGTGCGATGGCATAATCTCAGCTCACTAAAACCTTTGCCTCCCAGGTTCAAGTGATTCTCCTGCCTCAGCCTCCTGAGTAGCTGGGATTACAGACACATGCCACCACACCCAGCTAATTTGTATATTTTTAGTAGAGACAGGGGTCTCACCAAGTTAGTCAGGCTGGTCTCGAACTCCTGCCCTTGTGATCCGCCCACCTCAGCCTCCCAAAGTGCTAGGATTACAGGTGTGAGCCACCATACCCAGCCAACACATTGAGTTTTAAAAAATGATTATTCATGTCAGGTGCAGTGGCTCATGCCTGTAATCCCAGCACTTAGGGAGACCAAAGCGGGCCTGAGGGCAGGAGTTCAAGACCAGCCTGGCCAAGATGGCAAAACCCTGGCTCTA